AAACGCCTTACTATACGATGTCGTTTTTTTCGGCTCAAAATGCCTTACTATACTCTGTCGTTTTTTTCGTGTTAAAAACGCCTTACTATACGATGTCGTTTTTTTCGGCTCAAAATGCCTTACTATACTCTGTCGTTTTTTTCGTGTTAAAAACGCCTTACTATACGATGTCGTTTTTTTCGGCTCAAAATGCCTTACTATACTCTGTCGTTTTTTTCGTGTTAAAAACGCCTTACTATACGATGTCGTTTTTTTCGGCTCAAAATGCCTTACTATACTCTGTCGTTTTTTTCGTGTTAAAAACGCCTTACTATACGATGTCGTTTTTTTCGGCTCAAAATGCCTTACTATACTCTGTCGTTTTTTTCGTGTTAAAAACGCCTTACTATACGATGTCGTTTTTTTCGGCTCAAAATGCCTTACTATACTCTGTCGTTTTTTTCGTGTTAAAAACGCCTTACTATACGATGTCGTTTTTTTCGGCTCAAAATGCCTTACTATACTCTGTCGTTTTTTTCGTGTTAAAAACGCCTTACTATACGATGTCGTTTTTTTCGGCTCAAAATGCCTTACTATACTCTGTCGTTTTTTTCGTGTTAAAAACGCCTTACTATACGATGTCGTTTTTTTCGGCTCAAAATGCCTTACTATACTCTGTCGTTTTTTTCGTGTTAAAAACGCCTTACTATACGATGTCGTTTTTTTCGGCTCAAAATGCCTTACTATACTCTGTCGTTTTTTTCGTGTTAAAAACGCCTTACTATACGATGTCGTTTTTTTCGGCTCAAAATGCCTTACTATACTCTGTCGTTTTTTTCGTGTTAAAAACGCCTTACTATACGATGTCGTTTTTTTCGGCTCAAAATGCCTTACTATACTCTGTCGTTTTTTTCGTGTTAAAAACGCCTTACTATACGATGTCGTTTTTTTCGGCTCAAAATGCCTTACTATACTCTGTCGTTTTTTTCGTGTTAAAAACGCCTTACTATACGATGTCGTTTTTTTCGGCTCAAAATGCCTTACTATACTCTGTCGTTTTTTTCGTGTTAAAAACGCCTTACTATACGATGTCGTTTTTTTCGGCTCAAAATGCCTTACTATACTCTGTCGTTTTTTTCGTGTTAAAAACGCCTTACTATACGATGTCGTTTTTTTCGGCTCAAAATGCCTTACTATACTCTGTCGTTTTTTTCGTGTTAAAAACGCCTTACTATACGATGTCGTTTTTTTCGGCTCAAAATGCCTTACTATACTCTGTCGTTTTTTTCGTGTTAAAAACGCCTTACTATACGATGTCGTTTTTTTCGGCTCAAAATGCCTTACTATACTCTGTCGTTTTTTTCGTGTTAAAAACGCCTTACTATACGATGTCGTTTTTTTCGGCTCAAAATGCCTTACTATACTCTGTCGTTTTTTTCGTGTTAAAAACGCCTTACTATACGATGTCGTTTTTTTCGGCTCAAAATGCCTTACTATACTCTGTCGTTTTTTTCGTGTTAAAAACGCCTTACTATACGATGTCGTTTTTTTCGGCTCAAAATGCCTTACTATACTCTGTCGTTTTTTTCGTGTTAAAAACGCCTTACTATACGATGTCGTTTTTTTCGGCTCAAAATGCCTTACTATACTCTGTCGTTTTTTTCGTGTTAAAAACGCCTTACTATACGATGTCGTTTTTTTCGGCTCAAAATGCCTTACTATACTCTGTCGTTTTTTTCGTGTTAAAAACGCCTTACTATACGATGTCGTTTTTTTCGGCTCAAAATGCCTTACTATACTCTGTCGTTTTTTTCGTGTTAAAAACGCCTTACTATACGATGTCGTTTTTTTCGGCTCAAAATGCCTTACTATACTCTGTCGTTTTTTTCGTGTTAAAAACGCCTTACTATACGATGTCGTTTTTTTCGGCTCAAAATGCCTTACTATACTCTGTCGTTTTTTTCGTGTTAAAAACGCCTTACTATACGATGTCGTTTTTTTCGGCTCAAAATGCCTTACTATACTCTGTCGTTTTTTTCGTGTTAAAAACGCCTTACTATACGATGTCGTTTTTTTCGGCTCAAAATGCCTTACTATACTCTGTCGTTTTTTTCGTGTTAAAAACGCCTTACTATACGATGTCGTTTTTTTCGGCTCAAAATGCCTTACTATACTCTGTCGTTTTTTTCGTGTTAAAAACGCCTTACTATACGATGTCGTTTTTTTCGGCTCAAAATGCCTTACTATACTCTGTCGTTTTTTTCGTGTTAAAAACGCCTTACTATACGATGTCGTTTTTTTCGGCTCAAAATGCCTTACTATACTCTGTCGTTTTTTTCGTGTTAAAAACGCCTTACTATACGATGTCGTTTTTTTCGGCTCAAAATGCCTTACTATACTCTGTCGTTTTTTTCGTGTTAAAAACGCCTTACTATACGATGTCGTTTTTTTCGGCTCAAAATGCCTTACTATACTCTGTCGTTTTTTTCGTGTTAAAAACGCCTTACTATACGATGTCGTTTTTTTCGGCTCAAAATGCCTTACTATACTCTGTCGTTTTTTTCGTGTTAAAAACGCCTTACTATACGATGTCGTTTTTTTCGGCTCAAAATGCCTTACTATACTCTGTCGTTTTTTTCGTGTTAAAAACGCCTTACTATACGATGTCGTTTTTTTCGGCTCAAAATGCCTTACTATACTCTGTCGTTTTTTTCGTGTTAAAAACGCCTTACTATACGATGTCGTTTTTTTCGGCTCAAAATGCCTTACTATACTCTGTCGTTTTTTTCGTGTTAAAAACGCCTTACTATACGATGTCGTTTTTTTCGGCTCAAAATGCCTTACTATACTCTGTCGTTTTTTTCGTGTTAAAAACGCCTTACTATACGATGTCGTTTTTTTCGGCTCAAAATGCCTTACTATACTCTGTCGTTTTTTTCGTGTTAAAAACGCCTTACTATACGATGTCGTTTTTTTCGGCTCAAAATGCCTTACTATACTCTGTCGTTTTTTTCGTGTTAAAAACGCCTTACTATACGATGTCGTTTTTTTCGGCTCAAAATGCCTTACTATACTCTGTCGTTTTTTTCGTGTTAAAAATGCCTTACTATACGTGGTTGTTTTTTTCCGGCTAAAAATTTCGTCCAAAAACGCCTTACTATACATGGTTGTTTTTTTCGGTGAAAAATGCCGAACTATACATGGTCGTTTTTTTCGGCTAAAAATTTCGTCCAAAAACGCCTTACTCTACATGGTCATTTTTTTCGGCTAAAAACGCCTTTCTATACATGGTCGTTTTTTTCATCTAAAAACACCTTACTATACATGGTCGTTTTTTTTCGGCTAAAAACGCCTTACTATACATGGTCGTTTTTTCAGCTAAAAATGCCTGTATACTAAGGCGTTTTTTCACTGAAAAAAACCTGACCATGTATCGTAAGGCGTTTTGAGCCGAAAAAAACGACCACGTATAGTCAGGCGTTTTTAACTAAAAAAACCCGACCATGTGTGGTGGGGCTCACAACTGTCACTGTCTTGAGCTCCACGTTGCTTCCGCCTCAATAACACCAGATGCGTAGATTGTGGATTTTTCTCTATTTTATTTATCTGCAACACAGTGTGGCTGAAGTTATGGTCAATTCGCATTCGGCCGTTGGTATGACCCGCGACTTCCCTGTAGCTCTGACTTAACAAAACATCATCCATTACAAAACAAAATGCACAACAAATCAAAATACACAACATGGGTGATCGTATATTTACTATTTACAGAAAAGGGGAAAAAATTCAGATTCACTAATTACTTAATTATTTACAGGTTGTCACTAAACGCACCACACGCAGCAGAAACGGCTGCGCAATGAACAATAATGGCGGCCGCGACGAACTTCAGACACACGCCAGTAACGCAAACAGCCAAATGAAAAACGACACGAACAACTATATACAGTAAAACTGAAAAGAAACAAATATCACCTGCAACACAGTGTGGCTGAAGTTATGGTCAAGTCGCATTCGGTCGTTGGTATGACTGCGCAACAGAAAAACAATTTCAAATCAACTGAAACAGTAAAAACTTTCACTCAGCAAAACGAAAATTAAATAACAATACAAAAAGCAATGTGGACTCAGAACAAATCAGAGAACTAATTAAACACATCGCACCGTAGAAAAAGAAAAACAAAGTGAGATATTGTCATAAATTATAAATGAGTCCGGACCGTCAACGACATGGGACTTACCCTTCGACACGCCCTTCGCTCTGACTGAGCTCCGGCGGGAAGCTGGTGTCACGCCGTGCGCTGTTGCGTCACTTCCGTCATTATTTAACAAGCTTAACATATCACTCCGTTACACATGTATAGTAAGAAGTTTTGAGCCGAAAAAAATTGACCATGTTTATTTAAGTGTGTCAACATGTGTGCAAGGAGAATAGCAGAAAACGAGGATGAACTTTGTGGAGCAAAAGAGGACCATGAACGACAATGTCAACGACTGGACGCTTTTTTCAAGACCCCCGAACTGCATTGTACCTCGCCGGTTTGTTCACACTCACTTGTTTCGGAAATGCAGTTATTTTGAAATGGCAAACTTTGGGCAGGCTGGCATACACGCAGGAATGTTATTAAAATAAACATACAGCAGTTGCTTTCTGCATACATAAAAATGGCAGTGATTGCTTGAGAAATTCAATAACGATTTAATATAATAATTTATAATCTCAACAAAAATGAGGCTGACATTTCTTTCTCGAATTCAGGTTTCAAATTTAGTGTTTTACGTGATACTCTGCTTCCACCCTGTGGCCGCAAGTGAAATTACATAACTTCAAATTCTTGACGCAGTTTTTCACATTGGTTTGTTGGAAACATCTGACATACAGGTAGGATACCATACACATGGGTAATTTTATAATAGGGACTTTTAAATTAAATGTAAAGGTAAGACCAAATGCTTTTTAATTTAAAAAAAGGACTTTAGAAGCAAAAAAAAACAAAATAAAATAAACAGCAACAACAATGAACTTGACCTTGAATTAAGTTTTTTTTCTTACTATCACATTGTTGAACAGTGTGGAATCGATTGAAGCATAATTCATGAATCCAACCTGAAAAACTGAGTAGCTCATTTTTTTGAAGAGTTGTATTTTATTCAGGATCATATTTACACTTTTCCATCTCAAAATCAGAAGTCAAAGTTTATTCTGAGTCTATTTCTATCACTCATTTCCTTATTTGATATGCTTAGCACAAAATCACTGGACAAAGATGCAATACTAAGGGTTTTGTCATGAGTCGTAAATCTAAACATTTGTCCACAGAAGACTTTTGAGAAGGTATGTAAAATGCAAGAAGATATACAAAACGCAAGAAGGGAGATGGAATTTACAAATGTGAAGCGTCTTGCAGGACAACCAGAACAATTTCATGGCAAACAATTCAAAGACCTAAGATATACTGTCGGGATGTACTACTTTCACTGATCACTTCTACAGTTACCAACACATTTGTGTCTCTTAATTTTGCCCTTTTGATAGAATCTTTCACCACAATCTAAGCAGGCAAAAGGTTTCTCACCCGTGTGGATTCGTGTGTGACTTGTTAAGGTTCCCTTCTGAGAGAACCTTTGCCCACAAACTGAGCAGGGAAAAGGTTTTTCACCAGTGTGCGTCCTTGTGTGACTTGTTAAGGTTCCCTTCTGAGAGAATCGCAGGCCACAAACTGAGCAAGCAAATGGCTTCTCACCGGTGTGTGTTCTTGAATGACTTCTTAAGGATGCCTTTTTAGAGAATTTCTGACCACACACTGAGCAATCAAAAGGTTTCTCCCCAGTGTGTGTTCTTACATGTGATGTCAAAACGTGTCTACGAGAAAATCTCTGACCACAAACTGAACAGGCAAAAGGTTTCTCTCCGGTGTGTGTTCTTGTGTGTGTTGTCAACGCATGTCGACGAGAGAATCTTTGACCACATATTGAGCAGACAAAAGGTTTCTCTCCAGTGTGGGTTGCGGTGTGACTTATTAGGTTTCCCTTATGAGAGAATCTTTGACCGCAAACTGAGCATGCAAATGGTTTTTCTCCAGTATGTGTTTTTGTGTGTTTTGTCAAAGTACCATTTTCAGAGAAACTTAGACCACATATTGAGCAGACAAAAGGTTTCTCTCCGGTGTGGGTTCTCAAGTGACTTTTTAAGTATCCCTTATGTGAGAATCTTTGGCCACATAATGAGCATGAAAAAGGTTTCTCCCCAGTGTGAGTTCTTGTGTGATATACTAAGGGTCCCTTCTGAGTGAATCTTTGACCACAAACTGAGCAGGCAAAAGGCTTTTCCCCAGTGTGTGTTCTCGTGTGCCTCCTTAGGTTTCCTTTTTCAGAGAATCTCTGACCACAAACTGAGCAGGGAAAAGGTTTCACGCCAGTGTGGCTAATCATATGACTTTTTAAACGGCTCTTAAAACCAAATGTTTTCCCACACTGAGAACACTTCCAGCGTTTCTTGGCACTGTGCCATTTTGTATCATCTTCAGACTCTTCTTCATCATCATAATCATTAGTATTGTCATCACCATCTTCCTCCTCCTCATCATGAGAGTGTGGTGTTGCATCATCGCTATCTGATAGTGGCGCTATGAGTCCACCTGCTTGTGATCGTCCACAGTGGTCTCCATCAGTTTCTGTTGTCATGTGTTGACTCAAGGTGCTGCTGCTGCTTGAAGGCTCCGAGCCTCTGCTCTCCTCGCTTTGACTTTCATCGTCATCTTCACCCATCAAAGGGACATCAGTCAATAGAACCTTGATGATGTTCTCTTGCTCTTCCTCTTTAATGTAAAGGAACTCTTCCCCCTCCTCTTTGATTTGGGAGGGCTCTTTATCCTTCACTTCCTCTTTAATCTGTGGGAACTCGGATCGCAGGTCTGACGAAGACGGATAGATATCTTCATTGACATCTGCAAAACACAAAAAACAAACACGCTAAGTGAAAATCTCATTTCTTGATTTGTAACCTCCTCTATTCTTGGTCCTCTGTGTTTACATGTTAGTGACTCCATCCTCAGATCCAATTGAGGAGACGAGAACAACAGAGAAGCTTGGAGCAAAGAGTGAAAAATTGTAGATGTTAAAACTCAATGCCACCATTCCATGGAGTTATAGATGTCACATCATTGATACGTCTCAATTAACTCAGGTTCCGAATTATTATCACAGCCCGGAACAATATTTGTCCACTGCAGTGTTTAACACACAAACATTTGTTGCAGCAAACGGATTCAGTCAGGGGGGACTTCCTTGGAAGATGCCTAAGGTTTGAGGTCACGTTAAACTAAAAAACGACCAAAACAATGCTAATAATGCATTGCCACTGTTCTTTGTTTTTAATAGTGTGTATATAGGATATGATGTCTATAAGTTACGCTCAAACATAAATTTATATGAACATATGTAAAGAGAATCGATGCTTTGTGTTGTTTATATTTGGGACACAAACTATCATGAATGAGCTACTAGTGTATCAACCTTTTAGACGCCTTTTTTTTCAATGTGTTACTCATAACGTCAAACAGTGCCCGTAAATAAACTAGGGATTATAGTTCAGGTTTTAATATTTAAGTAAGAGTGAGAAGTGAACAAACCTGCCGTGTGTGACCCGACTTGAGGCTTCTTGAAAACACCATCCAGTTGTTGATGACATAGTCGATCGTTGTCCTTTTTGGATGCACAAAGTTCCTCCTCGTACTCTGCTGTCCTTCTTGCACACATTTTCACAAGATCACAACACCTTACGCTCACACTTGATCTTCGTTTAGCGACGTGTGGCTCACAAACGAGTCGTTCGTATCGGCTAGCACTCTAGGCTAAGCTAAACGAGGCCGATATGCTTGGAAGTGCACAGAGACGAATTTGACCAAAAACGAGGATTTATAGAATGTTATATTAGTCCAGTGAAGTAGTGGCGGGCGGACTATGTGGAGAATTCTGTTCGTAGTATAATAATAAGCATTTGTGAAGCGTGTGCAGGAAAAGTATCTGATACGTAAAATTAACATGTTCGGCGTGTCAAAGCACAATCTTTTCTACGCATGCGCAACAAGTCGGCCATTTTAGCAGACTACGGCAACCACACTATGTCAAAAGGTTTAAGGAATGAAATCACACTTGAATCTTTATAGGAGCCTTGGGATTGAGGATACAGTGTCCATTTGCGGGATAGTCATTACACTGGATTGAAATTAAATAAATAACATAGGAAGAAGCCGCTGCAAGTTTAGGCACCGTTGGAACATTTAATTCATTTTGTGATTCTTTCACATACTGCTCGAGCATTAATGTCACACTCTAGGCCCGGGAACCAGATCTGGCTCACTGCACCAGTTTATGTGGCCCACTAAAGTCATTAAAATACATCCATTTGATTTCTTGCAAAATAGGTTTGTTCTTTTCATGGCATTTTGCTTCACTTGTAATTATTACAAACGTCACGCCGCTCTATCAAATTCAGTACACTGTAAATAAATGTGACAAGGAATTTATAGACCAGTGAACCTTTCACAACAAAGTTACACCACAGTGCGTTTTTAGATGTGTTTTTAAGCTCCCCTTAAATGTAAACCGTTGATCACAAACTGAGCAGGCAAAGGGTTTCTCACCAGTGTGTGTTCTTGTATGTTTTCTTAAGCTTAATTTATCAGAGAATTGTTGATCACAAACTGTGCACTCACAAGGTTTTTCAACAGTGTGTGTTTTTGTATGATGTATTAAGCTTTCCTTACAAGAGAATCTTTGACCACAAACTGAACAGACAAAAATTATTTCACCGGGGTGGCTTCTCGTGTGGATTCTTAAAAGTCTCTCTCGAGTGAATCGTTCACCACAAACTAAGCATGAAAACTGCTTAGCTGCAGTGTGTGTTGTTACATGACGTGTTAAGGTTACCTTGTAAGTGAATCTTTCACAACAAACTGGACAGGTAAAAGGTTTTTCACCCGTGTGTATTCTCATGTGTATTCTCAAATTATGCTTCTCTGCAAATCTTTTACTACAATCTTTGCAAGAAAAAGGTTTCTCTCCAGTGTGTGTTTTTATGTGTATTCTTAAATTTTGCTTTTCAGAGAATATATCACCACAAAATGAGCAGGCAAAAGTTTTCTGATTCGTGTGTCTTCTTGCATGCATTCTTAGGTTTCCCTTTTCTGAGAATCTTTTACCACACACCGAGCAAACAAAAGGTTTCTCTCCAGTGTGCGTTCTTGTGTGTGCTGCCAAATGCTGTGTTTGAGTGAAGCCTTTACCGCAAACTGAGCAGGCAAAAGGTTTCTCTCCAGTGTGTGTTCTTGTGTGTGCGGCTAAATTCTGCGTTTGAGTGAATCTTTTACCACAAACTGAGCATGCATATGGTTTCGCTCCGGTATGTATTCTCATGTGTCGTTTCAAATCCGATTTATAAGCTAAAGTTTTCCCGCACTGTGAACATTTCCAGCGTTTGCTGTCAGCGTGAGAGGTCTTATCACCTTCAGCCCGTTCGTCATCAGTGTGAGGGGAGTGTAACAATGCGTCATCAGTATCTGATAGTGGTGCCAAGAGGCTGTGTTCTTGTGGTCCTCCACGGTGGTCTCCATCACCTTCCGTATTCATGTATTGACTTGAGCTGCTGTTTGGAGGCTCCGCCCTTCTGTTCTCTTCACATTGACCTTCAGTTTCACTCTTCAAAGGGCCACCAGTCAGTGGCATCTTGGTCATATCCTCTTCTGCCTTTTCCTCTTTAATGTGCGGAGGCTCTTCCTCCTCCTCCTCCTCTTTTATGTATAGGGGCCCTGGTGTCCCTTCCTCCATATTATGAAGGGGTGCCGGGTGCTCCTCTTCTTTTATGTGCACGGGCTTTCCCGCTTCCTCAATGCGGTGGTGCTCTGTCTCCTCTTTGTCTTTATCGTAGAGGGGCTCTGGCTGTAATTCCTCTTTCATGTGAAGTGGCTCTGGTTCATCACCTTCCTTAATGACTGGGTGCTCTTTGTCCTCTATTTGCTCCTTGATGTGAGGGGAACTTGACTCATTCTGGCCAGGATGAAGAGTTTCACTGATTTCTGCAAAACACAAAAATAGAAAATAAGCAAGGCTTGGTCTTGTAAATTTTCGCTGTGACTTGCATGTTCTGTAGTACCGTTTATATTGAAGGATATTCGTTGTATGCATAGTACAAGGTGACCCTAGAATGCACCTCCATTGGAGCCAGAAGCCAGTCCAAACTGTAGGTTTGAGTGCAGCAGAACAGTGGTGAAATGTACGGTGTGTGTGACAGAGGAGTTTAGGGCTGCCATCTAATGATTATTTGAATAATCCATTGCTCTGTCAATTGTTGAAAATGTTTTAATTAATGACTGAAATGGAAAAATATCTTTAAAAATGTTTAAATGTGCATTACTTTATTAAAAACAGGACATTATTTCAAACTGACAGAGCAGAAAATGCAAACATGATCAATTACTGATTTGGTCTACAAGTCAGAAAATATGCCAAAATTATCTTTCCCCCCCATCCCCCAAAGCAAAAGCTATGAATTTAGCAAGATATGTCTCAGCACTTTTTAAACTTGCACATTCATATCACACATATAAACTTGAATTGTTCACAATAGAGCTTTATTTTTGAAAACCTCATGAACATACATTTCCACACGATTGTCTGATATGGCATCAGGCTGAGGCAGATGACCCAAAATGCTGAATATTGCCGGCGCAACTCTGTCTACTCCTACATTTATAATAAAACAAAGTTTTGACATCTTGGACTTCAGTTCCCCTTCAAGAAGGCACACAAAATACAAGAGACGGGGCCGTTCAAAATCGGTGTCATCTAAGGACATTCACTACTCCACATTTCATTCAACGCTTCATTGATGAGTGCTATTCTCACCAGCACACTTGTGTCTCTTAACTTGACCCTTCTGAGAGAACCTTTGACCACAAACCCTGCAGTCAAAAGGTCTCTCACCCGTGTGTATTCTTTTGTGTATTTTTAAATAACCCTTCTGAGTAAATCTTTGGCCACAAACTGAGCAGGGAAAAGGTTTCTCACCAGTGTGGATTCTTGTGTGTATTTTTAAATAACCCTTCTGAGTAAATCTTTGGCCACAAACTGAGCAGGGAAAAGGTTTCTCACCAGTGTGGGTTCTCATGTGCATTCTTAAAATTCCTTTTCGAGAGAACGTCTTTCCGCAATCCGAGCAGGCGAATGGTTTCTCACCAGTGTGGGTTCTTGTATGCGTTTTTAAGCTCTCTTTTCTTGAGAACGTTTGACCACAAACGGAGCAGGCAAAAGATTTTTCACCGGAGTGTGTTATGGCGTGTAATTTTAGGTTTCCCTTTTCAGAGAATCTTAGGCCGCACACCGAGCAAACAAAAGGCTTCTCTCCAGTGTGAGTTCTTGTGTGTGTTGTCAAATGACTTCCTTGAAAGTATCTTTTACCACAAATTGAGCAAGCGAAAGGTTTCTCACCAGTGTGTGTTCGACTGTGTGTTGCCAGGTGGGTTGTTTGAGAGAATCTTTTACCACAAACTGGGCAGACAAAAGGCTTCTCCCCGGTGTGTGTCCTTGTGTGTTTGGTCAAGCTGCTTTTAGAGGAAAACGTTTTTCCACACTGAAAACATTCCCACGGTTTGTTGTCACTGTAGGACGCCTTATTGCTTTCAGTCTGTTCATCATCATCATCGTCAGTGATATGGGACTGTGATGTTCTGTCATGAATATCCGATACCGGACCTAAGAGATTATGTGTTCTTATGTGTGCTGTCAAATTGGCTCTTCGGGTAAATCTTTGACCACAAACTGAGCAGGAAAAATCTTTTTCGCCACTGTGCGTTTTTATATGCGTTGTCAAATGGGTTGTTTGAGAGAATGATTTCCCACAAACCACACATGCGAAAGGCTTTTCTCCGGTGTGGGTTCTCGTATGTGTTGCCAAATGGGTTGTTTGAGAGAATCTTTTACCACAAACTGAGCAGGCAAAAGGTTTCTCCCCAGTGTGTGTTCGCTGGTGTCGTTTCAAATCCCACTTATAAGCAAACATTTTCCCACATTGAGAACATTTCCAATGTTTGTTGTCAATATGAGCTGTCTTATCACATTCAGACTGTTCCTCATCGTCAGTGTGAGAAGCGTGCGACCTCGCGTCTTCACTATCTGATAGTGGAGCAAAGAGGCTGTCTGCTTGTGATCCTGTACAGTAGTTTCCATCACCTTCTGTTATGTGTCGGCTTGAAGTGCTGCTTGGAGACTCCGACTCACTGTTGTCCGCAGTTTGACCTTCATCTTCACTCTTTACAGGAACACTCATCGATGCGACGTCCTCGCCCTCCTCTTCCTCTTTAATGTGGTGAGGCACTTCCTCCGCTTCGATGATGTGGGGAGCCTCCTCCTCCTCTTGCTCTTTAATGAAGGGAGACACTGGTTGCTCTTCCTCTATGTCGTGAGAATGTGTTGGTGCCTCTTGAATATTTGGAAGCTTTTGCCTTTCCCCTTTAACATGGGGGTGCTCTGTGTCCGTTTTAATGAATGGCTGTTCCCATTCCTCTTCTTTAATGTGGGGGGAAACTTTGTTCTCCGCTAGTTTCTTAATGCGGAGGGGCTTTTGATGAAGATCGACATTGACATCTGCAAGATAGGAGAATAGAATAAAAAACATGGTTTAGTAATGCCAGTTCTGATGTTGTGATTTTGAATTATTGTTCATATTTAAGGTAATTATTAGAAATGTCACGATTTTTTATTTAGTTTATTGTTTTTTATCGTTATCGTTCAGAATTACTCCTCGAAAACAATGAGAGAATGATAGCATCAGATGCACCCACATACTTTGTTTTTGAATGCTAATGTTATATTTAAGTTACATTAAACGTGATGTATAGAGCAGCCGGGTAAATGTACAAACACAAGAATGTTGTTTACAAATAAAATTCGTTTGTGAGTGCAAAAAGTGAACAAACCTGCTCTTTGAAAGCCAACTCGAGCCTTCTTGACAACAGCGTCCAGGCGCTCGTTCTTCTCTTTGGTACCATTAAGTTCCTCCTCGTACTGCGCTGTTCTTCTTGCACACATTTTCACACGACATTCACAGCATTTGATCTCTGCTTTGCGATTAGTTGCTCTCAGCTGCGTCTCTTTGTTAGCGGGTAGCAAGATGAGCTATCCTAAGCTAACACAGGCTAGGCCAGGCTACAAAGCTTCACCGTGCACCGAGACGAGTGTATCTGAATGCGGATGACTTAAAGAACGACGGTTTCGTCCAGTAAAATGACGGGCGTACTGTGTCGAGACTTCGGGAAGCTCATCGGGAACAATTTCATGAAGGTTAAAAGAAGCGCTTGGCCGCGAGGGTGGCACGAGACATAGACGTATGCGGAAGTAGCTTTGAAGTGGAAATTTTACAGCTAACTAACGACGCGCATGCGCAGCCAGTCGGCCATATTTGATCCTAAACTACGGGACAACACAAAGACAAAATAAGGCACCAAATATACAGTATGTACTTTGTTGCGGTCCAAAATATGCACACAAGAACGCACACAGGAGAGAAATGGTTCTGTAATTGCAATAGATTATTTTTGTTGAGTAGTAATCCAATCCCTACTAATAAAAAAAAAATAAGCTGCTTTTTAAACAAATCAAGCAATCATTACAGGACAACAACATAATTACGACGTTTGGAAAAAAATCCTCTCCAGAAGGAGTGGGTGGCTCTTAAAAGAGCCGTTTAGTTGGGGTGAAGGAGTGCCAGCTTATTTGGAGCTGGTGTATTTGGTGACAGCTTTGGTACCCTCAGACACGGCGTGCTTTGCCAGCTCACCAGGCAGCAGGAGCCGAACGGCGGTCTGGATCTCTCTGGAAGTGATGGTGGAGCGCTTGTTGTAGTGGGCCAGACGCGAAGCCTCGGAGGCGATGCGCTCGAAAATGTCGTTGACGAAGGAGTTCATGATGCTCATAGCCTTGGACGAGATGCCGGTGTCAGGGTGAACTTGCTTCAGCACCTTGTACACGTAGATGGCGTAGCTCTCCTTCCTCGTCTTTCGCTTCTTCTTGCCGGATTTGCTGACGCTCTTTGCGACGGCTTTCTTGGAACCCTTTTTGGGGGCGGTCTTCGCTGGCTCAGGCATATTGATGTATCTGAATCAAGCTACAGAAACAGTATAACGCACTGAGGGCAAAGCTGGTACTCTTATAGAAAACCTCTGCAAAGAACGGTGTGCTAGCGCCGCGGTCCGATTGGCTGAATTTTTCTCGAATTAGTGGGGCATACAAAGACCCCCTCTTGGGGGTCCCGGCAGGACCTAAAAGAGGACAGTTGGTGTCATTTGGCGGTTGTCCCTTCGTTTTGCAGCGTCAATGGCCACCGCCTCCATTGTGCTCACGGTTGTATTTATTGTAAGCTTATTTAACTATATTATCCCATGGTGGATTTGGCAAGCACCTGTATTTCTTTTTGTTCTGTGGAATATGTGCACTTTCTTCTCCGTTATTCAACCACAGAAGCGTGGAGCACTGCCAAGCAGCAGTTGTCCGTGTAAGGTGGGGAGGATAGGAAGTTTCAACAACTGCTTAAATTGTAACTGGGTGAAAGCCCGTGACCCTTGTGAGAATAAACTGGTTAGAAAATGGATGAATGCTTATTTGCCACTTTTTATATTTCTATCTTTATACTTATTTTTCTTTAGCGATGCAGCTTTGAGTAGTTCTCTATTTTAATGTTCTCTAGATAGATAGGATGTATTGGATATTGACAATGACAACATGCAGTGCGTTTTAACACCACGTACGGGCAGTATGTATGTACCTGTATACATTTAATTGTTTAAGGGAGTAAGGCTCTCCAGAGATAAAGTGGGTGGCTCTTAAAAGAGCCGTTTTGGGATTGGGAAGTGTGTTTCTATTTCGACTTGGCAGCCTTCTCGGTCTTCTTGGGCAGAAGAACGGCCTGGATGTTAGGCAACACGCCGCCCTGGGCGATGGTGACTCCGCCAAGGAGTTTGTTGAGCTCCTCGTCGTTGCGGACGGCCAGCTGCAGGTGGCGGGGGATGATCCTGGTCTTCTTGTTGTCGCGGGCAGCGTTGCCGGCCAACTCCAAGATTTCAGCAGTCAAGTATTCGAGCACGGCCGCCAAATACACGGGGGCACCAGCACCTACGCGCTGGGCATAATTACCTTTACGCAGCAGTCTGTGCACACGACCGACTGGAAATTGCAGACCGGCACGGGAGGAACGGGTCTTAGCCTTTGCTCTGGCCTTGCCTCCAGTTTTCCCTCTTCCGCTCATTGTGTCCCTTCTCTGCAAATCAAAGAAAATGTAGCCCTCGGCGGTAGAAGTCCGGCTTTAATAGCCGCAGAATGCCCGGGGCGTTTGAGTTCGACCAACCAGGAAAGAGGCTTTCAGCGCGCGGAGGGACTTCGTATTTTGGCGGTTCAATTTAAACAGAAGCCCCCCAATTGGCAGCGATCGGTGTGGCAGGGGTTCTCTCTTCCGGGGGGGGGGGGGCTGACCTTCAGTACGAGCTGCGCACCAATCAGGATTGGCTGGCGTAAAGGAGCGTCCCGATTCGTTTGTTCGAGGACACCAGCCTGTGCGCTATTCACGCCAAAATGGTCACTATAAGGCCGAAAGACATCCAGCTGGCCCGTCGTATCCGTGGAGAGAGAGCTGAAGCTTTGACCCAAGGGCTCTTTTTAGAGCCACCACATTTGCAACTAAATGAGACATTTCTGTATTCCTAAAAGCTGCTTTATGTGCATGTCTCAATTAGCGCTTATCCATAGAAAGAATAAAGCAATCCGTTCATTTATAAGGGTTACTATCGAATTGGCTGGAAAAAAGATTTCCAGGACTTCAATTATCAGAACATATTTTTGTCTTCTGCCTTTCACGGTGAAACGTTGTATCATCGTGCACCGTGCACAATAGGTACAGCTACTTTTCAAAGGGCGGAGGCTGGAGTTTCAGTATAATTTCATGGTAAATTGGGTTTCACATGTGCGGTTTTGAAAGTGCGAAACTGTACCAGTCTGGAATTAATCATTTCCAATCTTCCAATGTTCTAAAAGTGCGATTAACTCAATCTCCAACAATAATAATAATAATAATAATAAGGATAAAGTTAGTTCTTTAATCTGTTAATAACGAGCTAGTCCATAATTGCTTTTGGTTCAGCAATGCCTTGAAGCAAATAATAGCTCAACCCCGCCAGCCACAAGCGTCGATAATAGGCGCGGATCTGCATAAGAGTAGTAAAAAGGAAAGCACGCTCTTGAAAGAAGGTGGGTGGCTCTTAAAAGAGCCGTTGTGTTGTTGACCTAAAGTCAATTTACTTTGAGCTGGTATACTTGGTGACAGCTTTGGTACCCTCAGACACGGCGTGCTTGGCCAGTTCGCCAGGCAGCAAGAGGCGCACAGCAGTCTGGATCTCCCGGGACGAGATGGTCGAGCGCTTGTTGTAATGAGCCAGACGAGATGCCTCGGATGCGATGCGCTCAAAAATATCGTTCACGAAGGAGTTCATGATACTCATCGCCTTGGAAGAAATCCCAGTATCGGGATGAACCTGCTTGAGCACCTTGTAGACGTAGATGGCATAGCTTTCCTTCCTCCCCTTCTTTCGTCTACGTCCCGGCTTGCCGGCAGACTTGGTGACTGCTTTCTTTGACCCCTTCTTGGGTGCGGACTTGGCTGGTTCAGGCATGTTGATTCGAGGGTGAGGGTGCAGTTTAGGAACCGGTGTTATTATAGACGCTGTCTTGCAAATCACGCTGTGCAAACGCCACTCTCTGATTGGCTGGAATCAGGATCGCTCACCGGGAGGTTTTACAGGTCAGTTAGAATAGCGGTTTCTGATCACGTGGGTAGAGCCTTTGTTTGTATGGGAAGCGTTACCAAACTACGTTTTATGATGATGAAATGTTACCTTTTTTCAAAGGCACTGTCACTGACTTGTAAATGCTCTCTTGATTAGAATGAGGGCTTTGTAAAATAGTAAACTGCTCACAGTACACCTACATCTCGCTGATGATTGGACAACCAAATCTCCGCTTCAGCTAACCAATGATTGACCTGCAACGGCCTCCATATAATGGATACTCTTGACTCAGGAGGACCCTACGTGTTACACACACATAGAACTGAAATAGAATATTTCCGTCATGTCTGGACGTGGTAAAACCGGTGGTAAAGCTAGAGCCAAGGCCAAGACTCGTTCATCCCGAGCTGGGCTTCAGTTTCCAGTCGGACGTGTACATAGGCTTCTCCGTAAAGGAAATTATGGCGAGCGCATTGGTGCGGGCGCCCCTGTGTATCTGGCGGCCGTCCTCGAATATCTGACCGCCGAAATTCTGGAGTTGGCTGGCAATGCGGCTCCCGACAACAAGAAAACCTTCTACCCAAAAAGACCGAGAAGCCAGCCAAGTCTAAGTAATGAGCAGGGATCTACTCCAACCACCTAAACGGCTCTTTTCAGAGCCACCTACCAATTTCATGAAGAGTACCATTCTGTGTGTATTTAAACCAAGTGGCTTGGTTGTTAAATACTGATAAAATGTTTTGAAAAAACCCATATTTAAATTTGTCCAAAATATATGCATTAACAGCGAAGTACAGGTGGAAATATGTATGTAGAAATATGAGTCAGTGACTATACTTTAGTTCATGGGGGCCATTCCAGAAATCGCAACTAGTATGTGGCCCACTTATGATGAAACTGCTTGCCATCCCTTATGGTAGGCGTTGACGCTAAATACGGATTCAGTATCATAAGTAGAACAACACGATTGTGATAAATACATTTTAAAATAGTCTTATTTCAACATCATCGCTTGTAAAAATGATAGTTGAGTCTTAGAGCTACCAAATGTGTCCAGTGCTTTACTAACATAAGCTGTCGATCTAATTAGTACTCGTGTTTCTAGTATGAAAGCTTCCTTTAATGCGAACAAGGGGAATTGCCAACGTATAAATTCACATCACCCAAAGGAGAACAACTTCAGCACAAGTTGTTCCTGTTACTACAAACAAAGGTAAATATGTTTATACAGGGCATGGGAGAAGGGCTGCTGAGTGACGTTTCTGGTGCACAATTGGGTCAGCTGTCCTCTCTCAGGTCCGCAGTGCTATTTCATAATAAGGGTCTCCTTCATAATAAGGGTCTCCTCAGTAGGTTGAAGGTAATCTGTGTTTTCGCTGACGTGATACAATGTCTGGCAGAGGCAAGGGAGGCAAAGGTTTGGGTAAAGGCGGTGCAAAGCGTCACCGTAAGGTTCTTCGTGACAACATTCAGGGCATCACTAAGCCAGCTATCCGCCGTCTGGCTCGCCGTGGTGGGGTGAAGCGTATCTCCGGTCTCATCTACGAGGAGACTCGCGGGGTCCTCAAGGACTTCCTTGAAAACGTCAGCCGCGACGCCGTAACCTACACGGAACATGCCAAGAGGAAGACGGTGACCGCTATGGATGTCGTGTATGCGCTCAAGAGACAGGGACGCACTCTCTACGGCTTCGGCGGTTGAGTTTTCCATCCGGCGCCGAAACAACACAAAGGTCCTTTTAAGGGCCACACACCAACTCAAAAAGAGCTCTAAGTTCCATGCAAATACTTCTTCGAAGATGGAAGATGATTATGATTTTATCTTGTTGCTGCCCTGCCAATGAAAATGCAGCCCGAATCTAATATATAATTACATGCAGCCAACAGAACAAATTAGGCAAGTTACTGAATTTTGTTGTACATTATAGGTGGCACACTATAACCATGTCTTGCATAAATCTGGAGATAACTTCTCTCAAAACACCCCCATGTATGAGTATGAGAGGAGACGCTGACATGCAGTTTCTCCAATGCCAGATTCATTTTCTGGATAAATCCCCAACATGTGAACACCATGTATTTCTTTTTTGTAAACTGAATTGTTTGGTAGGTCATTACATGATACACTAAACGGCCAAATTCAACAGGAGGATCGACCCTCTGGATGGAGCTCCGTTGCAATTAATTTTACGAAATTAACCCATCCGTCATTCTAATTCAGTTATGGTATTCAAATCTCCATATAAGATTAATAGTGTAATAGCAGTATATAAAATTATAACTATTTTTCTCCTCTGTAATCTAATAAAAGTCTTCCAAGAATAAAGTCTCTTATTCTATGTATTTCCACATCACAAAGCATGAAGCAATGTGTGAAAGTATGCCAAATAAAAATTGTGTGGAGAAAGAGCAAATGATACCATAAGCAAATGATACCATTAAACAATCGAAGATTCAAAATATTCATTTAGAAAGGCGAACTAATGAATCATGGCGGGTAAAAATATTGACAATGAATTGACCGCCTGGGACATATATATTCATTTATTTTAAGTCATTTTTCGTATATTATTATATTTGCCATTTAAATGTATTAAACCAGTGTGTTTGAACCACTGTGGGGTTTTCTTACATTAACAGAATTGGACCAATAATTTTGACCAAATTCTCTCTCTGTACAATAATGATACTGTATATGGTAATAGAATGGAAATACATGTAGCAAATTCATCAAGGGAAAGCAAAACAGTATTTTATTCACAAAATGCATGATAATGGAGACGCCTGGGTTAACATATATAGTTATGGCATTATCACATCAACAAATATAAAATCAGTAATTTACAAAACATATCTACATATATACACAAGTGCATGATGGCTTCATTGCGCCAGTTTTATTTTACAATTTAGCAATGTGCATGTTTTTTTCTCGTTTGCATTTAAATATATGAATTAGTAAAACATTATAATCTTCAATTATTTTTCCCCCATACAAAATGTTCTTGAAACATTAACAGCAAGCAGTACCTGAGAAGCTTCAGTGTGTTTGCTGCCACCAAAAAAAAACTTGTCTTTCTCTAAAATAATCAGAAACATATGTCTGTTTGCCCTTTGGATTTCTGTACAAGCATGCCTTGTCATCTGTAAAACATTTTTTTTGTGCCTTGTGAGCAATTTTCAATCTTTTAGCGGTTTATCAAGTAAGGAAAGTCCTCCAACCATCGTTCACGCCAGTGAAGAGGTGCCGTTTGGAGGCTCTACAAAAAAACTAAAGCAAGTCAGAGAGCTGTAAACCACTTCGATGTGGAGAAATACTTCATTTCTATCACTTCGAATCAATCTGACTGTTTCGAATAATATCTAGGGTGATTTTTCACCGTTCAAAGTGTGAACAGAAAACACAAGTCAACGCACTTTGATCGCGTTCGTTCCCATAGCTTGACTCTCTACGGTTCTCATGTGGTACTTAAGTACTGTCTCTCCCGGTGGCCGAACATTAACATTTTTGTTGGACAGCAGGCAGCTAAGACGATGGCGGAAGTAGCTCCAGCACCAGCCGCCCCGGCGAAAAGCAACGCTAAGAAGAAAGCAGCGCCCAAGCCCAAATCGCCGGGCCTTAGCGCCAGCGAACTAATCCTACAGGCCGTCGCGGCGTCGAAGGAGCGCAATGGCGTCTCCCTGGCCGCGCTCAAGAAGTATTTGGCTAGCAAAGGCTACGATGTAGAGAAGAACAAAGCTCGCCTCAAAACCGTCATCAAGAGCATGGTGGCGAAGGGAGCAATAGTTCAGACCAAGGGCACCGGTGCCTCCGGCTCTTTCAAGATGAACAAGAAGACCGAAACGAAGGCAGTCAAGGCGCCCGCAAAGGTGAAGAAACCCGCGGCCAAGGCTAAGAAAGCTGCCGTCAAGAAGGCCGCACCGAGCAAAAAGCCCAAAACTACCCCAGCGAAGACTGCCGCCAAGAAGGTTACCAAGAAGGCTGCGTCGCCCAAGAAAACGAAGAAACCCGCCAAGAGCACCAAGAAAACAGTCACGCCCAAAAAAGCTCCCGCGGCCAAGAAAACTGCCGCCGCGAAGAAGACCCCCTCCAAAAAGGCCGCCAAGCCTAAAACCGTCAAGAAGGCTGCATCGAAGAAGTAATTCAGCATACCTTTTATGCAAAAGGCTCTTTTAAGAGCCACCACATATTTAAAGAGCCTTCCAGTTTTCAATACTCCCGATAGTTGTATGATAACTGCAGGGTTGATTGTTTTTGCTCAAAACATTTTGGTGTCCTTTAGTTTTGAAATAAGTATATTTTGTTACACAATTATCTGTCTTTATTGTATATATCAGATTTCTTGGAGTTGGGACAAAACGTCCTACATAATACACTCTACTAAAAATCATTCAGCAAAATTAACATGAACTTTTAAGAAGTCATCGGTCGACTGAGTTGACGAATAAGTCATTTCTATCAGCCATTTTTGCTCCTGAGGGCTTTTGGGGTGTAAATTTGATTGTCTGGTCTGCAGTCAGGATGTCACATTTGTTTTTAATAAATGATGCAGATATACTTATTTTTAAAGCAACGCCTTCAGGTGAATGTTTTTGTTGTTTTTTTAATAAGGTTTATTTTGGTACAATTCTGTACTTATTCTGTTCCTTATAGAATGACTGATATATATTCAGGTTTTCAACAACACCTCTTTGAACACAAAACATCATCAACCCCAAATAATATCTGGGTAATGCAAGTATAATAATTATCGCTTTCTCACTTCACACATTTCCAAAACGTTCAGTTAATGAAGATGAAACATTTCAAGTCAACTCACAAATGAAGATGCCAAACGCATTTTCCTTCCTTCTGTTTCGCGAGCCGTTGGTCAGTTGTACTGAGTGCCCATTGGTTCAATTTAAATTCGTGTCCGTCCAATGTTCAAGCAGATTTGGCGCGCGCTCTTCCAAACCGCACCAATCAGCGTTGCCTCGCCTGGATAAAACCTGGAGCTCGTGGACCTTTCAGCATTCTCACTTGTTGCAAACTAGCGCTCGAGGAAAATGGCAAGAACGAAGCAAACAGCTCGTAAATCCACCGGCGGTAAGGCACCGAGGAAGCAACTGGCTACCAAAGCTGCCCGCAAGAGCGCCCCGGCCACCGGCGGTGTGAAGAAACCTCATCGTTATAGGCCCGGTACTGTGGCCCTTCGCGAGATCCGTCGTTACCAGAAGTCCACCGAGCTGCTCATCCGCAAGCTGCCCTTCCAGCGATTGGTCAGGGAGATTGCTCAGGACTTCAAGACCGACCTGCGCTTCCAGAGCTCAGCCGTCATGGCTTTGCAGGAGGCCAGTGAGGCTTACCTCGTCGGTCTATTCGAGGACACCAATCTGTGCGCTATCCACGCCAAGAGGGTTACCATCATGCCCAAAGACATCCAGCTGGCTCGTCGCATCCGTGGCGAGAGGGCGTAAGCTTTCTTGACACAACCCCAACGGCTCTTTTAAGGGCCATCACACTTGCAACTAAGAGTCACGTCCGGACTACGTTACATGACGGCAGTTAGTGCTTGTACGTGCAAATAACCAAAATGAAGTTTCTGATGCCTTTACTGCATATAGCGCTTTCACAACAGGCTGTTGTGAAAGCACTATATAAGTCAGCTTGTATTGTATTGTATGTTTAACAATCAAGGTTCTAGGAAGGCGTTGTTTGAGCAGGCACTACTCAACATTATTCTCGAGGACTGCAAGCTATTCAGCATTGTCGAGAGAAGTTGTTTGGCACAAGTGCTGTGATTCCCAAGTATGGGAGTGTGGAGAGTCAGTTGCACATTCAGCCCTTTATTTACATTTCAGTTATAAGGTGTTTATCTTATATATACAGTGCAAATAAACTATGTTATAGGGTTGGGGTTACACAATTTCAATTAATCCTTTAGTTCTTGGATATGCACATAAAAACTGGGCAAGGCAGATGCATACCTTGATAGGTTTTAACACAAGTGGTCATTCACAACACATGCCCATGGGAAACTTTTAAAAGGTACACACAATATAAGAAGGTAGATAAAATACAATAAGCGGGGTAGAATACAAAATTGTCACTTTTTTTCATTCCCTCAGTCAGACAGGTGACAAAGTTTGAGCTGCCCCATCAAACCCCTTAATTGGTGAAGCCTGCTCGGATGATGGTTGAAAAGTCTGACAGAACCACAAGCCCAGCTGCGATCAAGTCAACAACCTGATAAATATCAGGACAGTTCTACTTATCACTTCTTTTATCACCAGCACACTTGTGTCTCTTAAAGTTACCCTTCTGATAGAATCTTTGACCACAGTCTGAGCAGGCATAGGGTTTTTCTCCAGTGTGTGTTCTCGTGTGACATATTAAAGTTCCCTTCTGAGAGAATCTCTGACCACAGACTGAGCAGGAAAAAGGTTTCTCGCCAGTGTGTGTTCTCGTGTGGCTTGTTAAGTTTCCCTTGAGAGAGAATCTTTGACCACAGACTGAGCAGGCAAATGGTTTTTCACCAGTGTGTGTTCTCATATGACTTTTAATGGATCCCTTTTTTGAGAATCTTTGACCACACACTGAGCATGGAAAAGGTTTCTCTCCACTGTGTGTTCTTTTATGAGCAATTAAAACATGCCTACGGGAGAATCTTTGACTGCAAACTGAGCAGGCAAACGGTTTCTCTCCAGTGTGCTTTCTCGAGTGTGTTGTCAGAGCTTGTTTACGAGAGAATGTTTGCCCACAAACTGAGCAGGCAAACGGTTTCTCGCCTGTGTGTGTCCTTGTATGGCTTTTTAGGTTTCGCTTATGAGAGAATTTTTGGCCACAAACTGAACAGGCAAAAGGTTTCTCACCAGTGTGTGTTCTTATGTGACATAATAAGGCTCCTCTCTGAGTGAACGTTTGACCACAAGCTGAACAGGTTAAACATTTTTCACCAGTGTGGGTTCTTGTGTGTATATTTAATTGGTCCTTTTCAGGGAATCCTTGACCACAAACTGAGCAGACAAAGGGATTATCCACAGTGTGTGTTCTCATGTGTCTTCTCAAGCTCCCATTCACAGAGAATGTTTGACCACAAACTGCACAAGCAAAGGGTTTCTCTCCAGTGTGTGTTCTTTTGTGTACTGTCAAAACATGTCTGCGTGAGAATGTCTGACCACAAACTGAACAGGCAAAAGGTTTCTCTCCGGTGTGTTTTCTTGAGTGTGTCGTTAGAGAGTGTTTACGAGAGAATGTTTGGCCACAAACTGGGCAGACAAAAGGTTTCTCACCAGTATGGCTAATCACATGACTTTTCAAATGGCACTCATAACCTACGTTTTTCACAAAGCGTTCGTCGTCGTCGTCATCATCATCTTCATCACGAGAGTGTGACATTGCATCGTCACTCTCCGATAGTGGAGCTAAGAGTTCGTCTTCTGGTGATCCTACACAGTGGTCTCGATCACTCTCTGTTGTCGTGGGTTGACGTAAGATGCTGCTTGGTGGTTCCACCACTCTGCTTTCCTCACTTAGATCTTCATCACTGAGACCTTCATCTTCAGTCTTCCAAGAGACACCAGTCAATCGGACCTTGATGATATCCTCCTGCTCTTCCTCCTTAATGAGCAGAAACTCTTCTTCATCATCTTTAATTAGGGGGCGGTCTTTATCCTCCACTTCCTCTTTTATGTGCAGGAACTCTTCTTCCTCCTCCTCTTTGATTTTGAGGGGCTCTTTATCCTCCACTTCCTCTTTAATGTGAAGGGATTTCGATTGAACGTCTGATGAAAATGGATTAAGATCGCCGCTGATGTCTGCAAGACACAATAAGACAAATGCACATCAGCCAAATCGTCTCCACTCATTTGTAACCACCTTGGTCCACGATCTACATGTACCATAGACCCAATTTATCACATGAAATGTACAATAATAAAGAGCACAAAACATGAATATAAATAATGCCATTTTTGATTAATCATTTGGTATCATTGATAAGAGTGAAGGGGTAAGATCTAAATAAGTTTGACTTTGTCCTATTCCTTTGCAGTACATGTTTTCATTTTGGATATTTGTGTAGATTGTTGTTTTGATTTTGGTTCTTATTTTAAGACTGCATATTCAAACTAAATTTCAGTCAAAAAAGGATCTAAAAAATTAATTACAGTAATGTAATTTTGGGAACATCCATTGTGCAGATCTCAAGAATCAAAATCCAAACTGAGGCATTTGTTGTAAAAATATAAATAACATTACTCGAATTGCAAAAAATCAGTAGACTTCATTTATATACTTTTACAGTCCCCCGGCTGACATATGTAGCTGTGCATGTAGCATTATGGTGAATAACTTTCTCTCCAGAGACTTATTAATTTGTCTGCTATTTTGCCTTTAAATTGGAACTGCTTTAACGGGATTTCACTCAGACTTCGATAAAAAGTGTACTCGCTCATCCAAACACTTAATTCCGGTGCTTCAGAATTGCAGTTTACATATCTTACCCCCAAGATAAACAAGCACGGAACAGTTAAATATCTTCATCTCAGATTTTCAAAACATGCCATGTAAACTGAGTAAAACTATGGTATCTTGTCCATAACCTTTTCAGATATTCTGAAATGCGGGCTACACCCCCCGAATCCAAAATACGGTCAGGCACATTGTACACATTATAAAGTGATATTAAATATAACGTCACACGGTGCCTGTAAGTAAACACAGGAATGGTTTTGAAACTTGGAATGTATGTCCTAAACAAGGGTGAGACGTGAACAAACCTGCTGTGTGTAACCCAAGTCGAGGCTTCTTGAAAGTTCCATCCAGCCTTTGACGTTGTCGCTCGCTCTCCCGTTTTGTTCCACAAAAATCCTCCTCGTCCTCTTCCGTCCTACTTTCCCACATTTTCACACCAAACTCAGAACCATTTTACGCCCATTTGATCTCCGCTTTGCGATGCGTTGCTCACAAACGCTTCGACTTGTTAGCAGCTAGTAAAGTAAGCTAAGCTAAGGTAGCCAAAGCTAAAACGGGCCGCGACGCTTCAACGTGCACTATGACGAGTTGAAGTGGGCACGAAGATTTAGCGGATGAAATCTTACTCCACCGAATTAGTGACGGGCGTCCTGTTTTGCTGGTCCAGAGACATTCAATACTAATTCAGGACCAATTTAGTGAACGCCTGTGTTAGCTTCGTCAAAGATTTGCACCGAGAAGCAGATCATTGTGACGTTAGAAGACGACCTCTTTGGTGCATACCGCCACCTACTGTACATGAGTGTGCAGTCCTTTAAAAAAAAGGTATCTGAGGCTCGGCAAAAACACTTTGAACAATATATGGTGTAGGTATGGTACTAAATAAGTGCATCATCACCATTTAACATTGTGATCGATTTATATTTTGGAGATTAATATTAGTATATACTGCATATTAAATGTATGGCCCTTCAATAACGTTTTACGGTTCGGATGTCAGTATTGAGAATTATGTCAGTAGCACCAACAATTCATTCAATACATCGCCACACGTCATCACATCAACTCATCGCACAGATTACCTGGGAACATGTACTCTTACAGAATGCAGTGTGTGGCCCTTAAAAGGACCTTTGGGTTATGTTAATTTAGCGGGGTGACGAATTAACCACCGAAGCCATAAAGAGTACGCCCCTGCCTCTTCAGGGCGTACACTACATCCATGGCGGTAACGGTCTTCCTCTTGGCGTGCTCAGTGTAGGTGACTGCGTCACGAATAACGTTCTCCAGGAACACTTTAAGCACACCCCGGGTCTCTTCGTAAATAAGACCGGAAATACGTTTCACTCCGCCGCGACGAGCCAAACGCCGAATTGCGGGTTTGGTGATGCCTTGGATGTTGTCCCGAAGGACTTTGCGGTGGCGTTTAGCACCCCCTTTGCCCAGACCTTTGCCTCCCTTACCTCGACCGGACATGGTTGTTCTGTTAAAGACACTCGTGGAATGATCTGGCTCGTTCCAGTCGACAGTTATAAAACCAGCCCTGCGGACCTGAGAGAGGACAGCTGACCCAATTCAGCGCGTGAGACGTCACTCAGCAGCCCTTCCCCCACACCTTGACTAAACACTATTTTACTTACCTCTGTTACTATCAACAGAAACCGTAAAAAATCCCTCATTGAGCGTTTCACTTTGCCTGGTGTGAATTTTAAATAAAACCCAGTTTCATGGGGCTTATTGGGTGGATTTTATACGTTTAGAATTTCCCTGTTCACACGAAACGAAGCGTTTCAAAACGTGAACATGGATCAAGTTATTAGATGAACAGCTCATCTTAAAAGTGAAAACTGTTTTGTGGCACATTTTCTGACAGCATACAACACCATCTATAGCATGAAATTGTATGTATACTTTTACTGGGCCTGAGATATGTAATTGGCAAGATGTGGCACTTAGTCTTCAGTTTTATACCCGATAGATGCAATGTGTCGTTTTATAATTTAATCAGTACAATTTGTAATCTTGTCAATTAAGATTGTATATTTACTGGAAATGTGGACAGTACGATTTAGAGTTTAATTAGCTCTTTATAGCAATGCAAGAGTTGCTGGCATCGACTACGGCGTGATGTACTTCCATCTGTCCAAGAATACACATAATTGCTTTGCAACTGCCAGATCTTTCTAAGTAGCTACGATGTACACTGAACTAAATATAATTATTGTCCCTTTGGCTTAAATATGGAATTGTACTCTTGATGACACGAGTGAATGGCTCTTAAAAGAGCCGTTTGGGGGTTGTAGTTTATGTCTCAGCTTTACTTGGACTTGGCGGCTTTCTCAGTCTTCTTGGGCAGAAGGACTGCCTGAATATTTGGCAACACGCCACCCTGGGCGATGGTCACTCCGCCAAGAAGTTTGTTGAGCTCCTCGTCGTTGCGGACGGCCAACTGCAGATGACGGGGGATGATCCTGGTCTTCTTGTTGTCTCGGGCAGCGTTGCCGGCCAACTCCAAGATTTCAGCGGTCAAGTACTCGAGTACAGCCGCCAAGTAGACAGGAGCACCGGCACCGACACGCTGGGCATAGTTACCTCTACGCAGGAGTCTGTGGACGCGACCAACAGGGAACTGAAGTCCAGCACGAGAGGAACGTGTCTTGGCCTTGGCTCTAGCCTTGCCGCCGGTTTTTCCTCGCCCAGACATATTCGTAACAACAACGTGCACTATGTACGTTTCAAAAGAGGTTAAGATCTACAGTTGGGAGCAGTCCCTTTATGCACACTCCTGCTGCTCATTGATTGGCTAGTTGAAGCGGAAAAATTGTTGTCCAATCAGAAAAGACCTTTGTTTCACCGCCCTGCTGCGGTCTCTCATTTTTGCAGAAGCAGCCGTTCAAGTGTAATGAAATGAATCAAACCATACATCACTCTCTTCAGTATTATCCCGCATTTCACCATGATATTAATGTTGAACAATTTCTATCTGGCTTCTATCAAACACTTTTTATCATTATTACAACAACCCACAAATACAGCAGTAGAATGTCAAAAATCACCTGGAGGTAAATGATGACCCTATAATAATAATCACCGAAATACAAATACCATGATTAGATCTTGTGGGTTTTATTCTATTGATATCCCTCAGTATATCAGTATGAACACAGTTGTCTTTATGTTGTAAACAACTTTCATTCCTACGTTGCAGACTCTAGCGGGTATGAACACAGTTGTCTTTGTTATAAACAACTTTCATTCCTACGTTGCAGACTCTAGCGGATGTGTCGTCACTCCCATGCAAACGACAACACAGTAATGGCGGCGTGCGCAGTCGCCACGCTTTCCCTGTGAAAACTATTGTGAACAGCCGTATTTGCGTGATTGGAAGTAGTAAATCTTCGCCATGTCGGGGCGACATAACAACAAGTTGCCGAACAATTTGCCGCAACTGCAGAATCTAATCAAGCGGGACCCTCAGTCTTATGTAACAGAGGTGAGTGTTTACACGCTTTCAATGCTAAAAGCTAGCATGCGCTTTTGTTTTGGTGAATGTCCAATTTGTTAACAAGAACGGCTGTCAATGTGGCTTCGGTAGTTTTTGCAGCAGTACAGACACTACCAGTCCAATGTGCAGATCTTTAAACTGCAGCCCGACAAACCCAACAAGGAGTTGGCGGAACTTGTCATGTTCCTTGCTCAGGTATCGTCATACGTAAATCGATCCTCTTTGTCTTGTGAATTGTCTTTAAAAATGGTTGTTGACTCGTCAATCAGGTGGCCCACTGTTACCTGCAGCATTTGTCTACTTTTCCTCAAGAGCTGACTGAGTTGTTACTGAGTCACCACACAGTCGTGGAGGCAGACTTAAGAATGGTGAGAAACCCGTCTCTGATTAATTTAACACACAGAGCAGCAACATGGTCAGTGCATACTACAATACTCAGAGGCATTTCTGCTCTGTAGGAACAAAAAAATTATTAAAATGGGAAAACATGGTACTGTACCGTATGACACTGAAGGAGCTACCTCTTCATGCTTGCCTGTATAAAGTTAAAAAAAAAACATGAACATCAATATCTTGAAAAGTTACAATGTGGCATGAACAGTGAACCACGTTATAGCGGGGGTACGCTGTTGCTATATTCTATTAATGCAGTGGAAAAGTAACTATTCTTTGGCGTTATGTTCAGACCTTCTGCAAGGCTTTGATTCTCTTGCGAAACAAGGACCTGATCGACCCCACCGGCCTGCTCGAGCTTTTCTTTGAGCTGCTGCGATGTCACGACAAGCTGCTACGGAAGGTTTGCAAAGAAAAAAAAAAAGACAGGTAGAAAAAGGCAGCCGCACAAAAGACAATTCATTTGAAATGTGCCTTTTGTCTTTACAGACGTTATACACACACATTGTGGCTGACATAAAAAACATCAACGCCAAGCACAAAAACAACAAGGTGAACTCGGTAAGGGACTCGCTTAAACCATTTAACACTTTTTTTTTTTTTTTGTAAATCAATGCGGTAATTATATTCTCATTTTCTTTTGTGTCATAGTCATTGCAGAACTTCATGTACACTATGCTAAGAGACCGCAATCCCATCGCAGCCAAGATATCCTTAGATGTGATGGTGGAGCTGTACAAGAGGAACATTTGGTACAGTTTTTTTTTTCTTGAATTAGTTGACTACAGTTGTACTTTGAGATATTAATGACCCAACAATTTTAATTTGGCTGGCACAGATTAATAGCATTTGAATTGATTTCAAGAGGGAAAGATAAATTGACATAAGAGCGTTTTGAGTGACAAGCTTGGTTATAGAGCTAATTAAACTCCCAATTTCAAGGCACCACTATATTGTGATCATTCAAACGGATGTGCCTGCAGGAACGACACCAAAACGGTCAATGTCATCACCACAGCGTGCTTCTCCAATGTGACAAAGGTGTGCTTTTCCAACTTTGATTTTTCTTTCTTATTCACTCGTGGAATATGAATGAAGATGTATTGTAAATCAACGCCTCGTGTTTCTATGTTGCCGGGCAGATCATGGTGGCCGGACTCAAGTTTTTCTTGGGGGCAGATGAAGAGAATGAGGGCAGTGACTCAGACTCAGAGGAAAGTACTGACAATTGTATTGATCTCAATATTTCGTTTGAATCAATTCAGTGAGCATTTATGCTTACAAATGGTGTGGGGGGGAAAAAAAGTGCACAGACTTCAAACCAAAATTCAATGATACATTGAATAAATGTGTTAGGTAAGGACAGATTAGAACAAATTAACGTGCAAATATTTGCAGCATCCATGAATTGATTGTGCGTGTGTGTGAGACGTTGCATGAGTGTTTCATCTTTTTTCTCGTCATCTTCCAGGCAGAGGGACCAACAGTGCGCGACCTGAAGGTAAGATTCAACACTGGGAGGAAAACTTCCAAAAACAAGAAGAAGCTGGAAAAAGCAATGAAAGTCCTCAAGGTAATCCCCATTTGAGCTTCCACTTGAATTTCTTGTTATGCTTGCCCTATATCTTTTTTTTTTTTGCTTGACTCTCTTGCATGCAGAAACACAAAAAGAAGAACAAAGCCGAGGTGTTCAACTTTTCCGCCCTTCACCTCATTCACGATCCCCAAGGTAGGCCCCCTCGTCAAAGCTCTGCGTCCGGCTTGTCATCACTAACAGGAAACATTTTGGTTAGACTTCTCGGAGAAGCTCCTGAAGCAGCTAGAAAACTCCAAAGAGCGCTTTGAGGTCAAGATCATGATGATGGAGCTCATTTCTAGACTGGTCGGCATCCACGAGGTACGACATTCTGACACAGTCTTTGACGAAAAAGCACCAAATTAAAAACTCACAGGTCTTTATTTTGTTTTCAGCTCTTCCTCTTCAATTATTATCCATTCATCCAGAGATTCCTTCAGCCACATCAAAGAGGTCAAAAGCATTTTTTTTGGCATGTATGTATTTTTTAATTTGCATGAAGGCATCACCTAAGCCATGCTCCTAAAAGGCACGCATCCAAAACGCGGATACAACAGTAGGTACAATAACTACACTTTATAAAAGCGGTTTCTTTCTTTACATTTTCTTTTATGTCTTAAATATAAGACAGTGTTAGTTCGCTGCATTTAAAATATGTCACAACCATGACTATTAGAACTGGATCAGATTGATGGGTCTTTGGGCCAACCAAATAATCTGTCTCGCTGCATGACATAATATGGCTTGTCAAATTAGCATAAAAAAATCACTTCTAATGACAATGTTTATACGTCTCGTAGAGGTGACAAAGATCCTCCTGTGCGCCGCACAGTCTTCCCACCAACTCGTCCCGCCTGAGGTACAATTCTGAACTTAATCGTTGGAAAGTGTCTACCTGTCATGCTAATAACATAACCCGCTAACACACGCAGATCATCGAGTCAGTCATCCGAACGATTGCCAACAACTTTGTTACCGATCGAAACTCTGGCGAGGTCATGACTGTGGGGTGAGCGGTCGGCAACGTTCTACTATTTGGGTTAAAGAGCAAAATACTTTAATAGCTGATCATGTTATTTCAGGATCAACGCCATTAAAGAGGTGGTTGCCCGTTGTCCACTCAGCATCAATGAAGACCTGCTGCAGGACCTGGCCCAGTACAAGACCCACAAAGACAAGAGTGAGACTTTTTACCGTTATCATTGTTGGTGTCCCAGACATTGACAGCGTTTCCGTTTTTGTTTTCCCAGATGTGATGATGTCCTCCAGAGGCCTCATCCAGCTTTTTAGGAATCTCAACCCGCAAATGCTGCACAAGAAGGACAGGGTGAGCACAACATGAGTGGGTATTATATTAAGTGGAAGAAAACAAAGTTGCCTATGTCAAGAGGCTTGCAGGCAGATACCACTGTAAAAATCATCAAAAGTGAGAGCAGGTCATTTATTATTATTTTGTATATATATATTTCGTTTTAACTCACTTGCTAAAAACTGTCTTAGCCCAATCACTGCAAGCATTTGTGTACAGGGAAGGCCCACAGAGGCATCGTCGGAGGCCAGGGTGAAGGACTACGGCGAGCTGGGAGCTAAAGACTACATTCCTGGAGCGGAGGTGCTGGAGGTGGAGGAGGAAGTCAAAGAGGGCGAAGAAGGTGAGCGGGCCGCACGTCATTAATCGGTCATCTATCATAGATTGATCAGGCTAATAAATGACAAATGCCAAAACAGACGGCTGGGAGAGCGCCAGTGTGAGCGACGAGGACGAGGATGGGGAGTGGGTGGACGTCCACCACTCGTCCGATGAAGACGCGACAGAAGTGGTAGGTTTAAGAACAGTCTTTAAAAAGAATGTAAAACGATGTTAGTTTAACGCATTGTCGTATTGTCCGAATAAGGCGGAGAAGCTGAAGAGTTTACCAGCTGAAGAGCGGGAGGCCAAGGCGGCGGCGGTAAGCGTCAGCCGTCTCCTCACGCAGGATGACTTCAAGAAGATCAGACTGGCCCAGATGGCTAAGGAGGTCAACGGCGCACCAGGGAAGAAGAGGAAAGCAGCGGACGACGATGATGAAGACCACAGCAGGTGAGACATTTTTGAACCTTGCTTGAGTTGACTAAAATTGCCCCGTTGGACTAAATTATGAATACAATTTAAATTTTAGTGTGAAGACTATAATGAAAACAAAATTACATTTCTTGTCAAAATGAACATTGGTTAACGGTTTCATTTGATTTTCCAGAGGGGAGCTGCTGACCCTGAGGGATATTGAGAGGCTCCATAAGAAACCAAAAGCTGACAAGGAGACCCGCCTGGCAACAGCAATGGTTTGAAAAACACGTTTATTCCTAATTCTTCACACAAAGCTTGACCGTATGTTTTGCGTTTGGCCTGTAGGCGGGCCGAACGGACCGTAAGGACTTTGTGAAGAAAAAGACCAAGTTAAATCCTCACGCTAGCACCAGCAACAAAGAGAAGAGACGCACAAAGAATTTCATGATGATGAGACACAGCCAGAACGTCCGAACCAAAGGCAAACGTTCCTTCAGGGAGAAGCAGGTGAGTGAACCATGTTGGCCACGTCTGCAAGAGCATGTTCTGTACATTCCTCCATGTACGTATAAATACGTTTTGTTTTGTTTTTGTTTTTTTAATGCAGATTGCTCTCCGGGATGCACTCTTAAAAAGGAGGAAGCAGCACAAGTAGTGAATGTTAGGATGGTCACATCGGGACTGCATCAAATCATGGCTATGATTTATAAAAATGTTATTATTATTGTATCACTTCCAATATTGCTATGAAATAAATCATATTTGGAAGTGAAATTACTTTAATGTCCATTGTTTTTATTGTTTGTGCGTGACCGCATTTTTAGGTGTATTTGAGAGATAAAACTACAATGCCAAGGTAGATGCGCCTGGTGGAACAACAACAGTGCGTGTTTTGAAGGCACTAAAATGTATTTACCCAGTGAAATAAACAAACAATGAGTGCTTTTAGTTCAAAGCACAAATTGTCGAAAATGTGGTAACACGGAATGTCCTCTATGACGAGTGGGAAAACTACAATACCCAAGATGCACTGGGTGAAATCACAACAATTCGCCCGAGAAAAAGCCGGCATTTCAACTCTTCCTACCATATGAGGCAAGCCAAATCGACTTGTTATGAATGTGTGATCTTCATATCCGCCCTTTCCTGATCATTTCTGTTCTTTATGTCGAGTTAGTCGTTACATTTAGGCTTTTTCTTCCTCTTGCGCTGTCAGACAAGATTAGCTCTTGTGTCGATGCTAGCTAAATGGCTAACGGTTCCTGTTGCAAACAATATCGATTACTGACTGTCATTCATTGTACTTTTATATATTTATATATTTTTAATTTGATGGGATTGCGTGTGTGCTGGCCACGTTCAAATATGCGGCAATTTAACGGGACAGTTTCGGGGGTAAAGACGTCTCGTTGAGTGTTTACGTGCGCTGTGCCTACTCAAAAGATGTAGATGGCCTACCACACATTAAAGTCTTAGTTTAGTTTAATGCATCGAGAGATTAGACATTTTTAAATCGTCGAGCAAGTTTATAAGATGATAGCGTCCTACCGTGTTTGCTTTATCAAATACAATTTACGTTTGTAGGTGTTTACACGTTGCCAGTATGGCGTTATTACAAACAAAAATGCTTTATGACGTATTTACCTTGTTAGTCGATCATGACAAAATATAAAATAAGATAACCTTTATTTGTCCCACACTGTGGAAATTTGCATAATGCATGATGTAGTTCAATATAACAAAGTGAAAATAATGTGTATTCTGAACGAAAATGATCAAGTAAAAGTTAAAAAATGTAAAATCTGTCGGATTACTCTTAGAAGTGCAATTTAACGATGCCCTTGACTTTACATATACGTTTGATGATTGAAAGAAAGGTTGCTTTATTTGTGCAAGAAAGGTGGCTTTATTTGTGCAAGATTTTGAGGTTGAGTTCTACTGCTGTTAAATTATTCACCAGCAGCTTTTTTTTTTCTCCCCCAGTAATGAATAATACAACATAGACTGAATCTGTTTTCATCTTTAAACCCCAACTGATTTCTGCTTTATTTTCCGCTCGGTCTGTCCAAAGTGAAGTGAAACCAAGCCGTGATTCTTTTGTTCTTTCTTTTGTTGAAATATCAAACTAAACCTGAGCAGACTGACGATGAGGCTGTAGTGGTACTGTACTTGGGTCTATTCAGCTCAGACGGGGAGACAGTGCTAGAAAACACTGGTGTTGTCGAGTCAGTCGACTGGGCTGATTTGTGCCTTCCATCCTCACCGGTAGGATTTTTTTTTCCATCTCGCGCTTCATTTTGTGTTCTGTGTGGAAAAACTGTCTTTTGAAATACTTTTATTTGCAACTTTTGCTTGCAGTCAGTGTTGGGTGAGTAAAAGGGAAGTGAAATTAAGAGGAGTAGGAGTGGGGGGGAGGCGAGACTGACCAAACTTGCTCAGCTGGTAGGGAAGATCCCCAATCAAATATTCTGCTTTTGTTGACACTTGAGGTTGGATATTTGCTCGAAAATAACGTCGCCGTTGCTCACAACACAATGCCAGGAACTCTGCGTTGTCAGAATTCAGCAATATTTGATCATTTTGATGTTATTTTTTTTCTCAAATGCAATCTAGGTAAGTGAACTGTATAGTAATGACCGCCCCCCCCACACACACAACAAAAAAGTAAGTATGGGTAGGGTAGTGCTGTCTGTACCTGAACTTGTGTCCTCTATGTCCAGGTAAGGTCGCCATGGCCCCGGGGGATGTGGTGCCGGAGCATGTCAAGCAGCCCAAGGAGAAGCCCCCTGCTGCCGCCATTCCCATCAAGCAATCCAAAGTCGACTGCGAGTCAGACGGCTCCTTCATCTTCGAGGCCCAGGAGGCCTGGAAGGACTTCCACAAGTCGCTGAGACATTTCTACGAAGTGGGAGAGTTCTGCGACGTCACGCTTAAGGTCAGATGTCTTTCAGGCGTGTGCCGTTCTAAAACAAAACAATGCATAAAAAATTCAAATATCGAATCGAACCATTTCCAACCATAAATGAGCGTGACATCTACATTACTCCCATCGGTCACCGCTCAACAAATTTCCTTCTGAAATGTTTTCCACGTTGTGTGTGTGGACACTACAACGCCAAACGATGGCGGTGAATGTCTTCTAATCAGGATGTTTTGCATGTAGGTCGGGTCGCCAAACGATGGTGGTGATGTCTTCTAATCAGGATGTTTTGCATGTAGGTCGGGAGCAGGCTCATACTTTGTCACAAGCTTGTGTTGGCTTGTGTTATCCCCTACTTCAGGTATGCACACTTGTTTGCAAACATATTTACAGACGTGTATTAAAAATAATTTAAAGAAAGACATGCTAGTTCATCATTTTGTTCTTCCCTCAGGGCCATGTTTCTGTCCAATATGACAGAGGCCAAGCAGAAACTGATCGAAATCAAGGACTTTGATGGCGATGCCATCCAGGAGCTGGTGCACTTCGCCTACTCATCCAAGCTCACGCTCACAGTAGACAATGTCCAGCCTCTTCTTTATGCTGCCTGCATCCTTCAGGTAGGTTAACACAGATGTGCAGTCCAGTCTCGTGTTTTCCAACTTTTATATTTTACATGAGGAAAATCTCACACGCTTGTTAAGATGAACATAAAGCTGATATACGAACAGGAAGCCATGCCTTGTTCAGTTTTGTGAATAGCCACAGGAGGGGACGCAGGTTCATTTTGTCTTACGCCGGCTTGTGGAACAACCTTGTTACTGTACAACGATGTTGCCGGGGCATTGATAGTTGAACAAAGTCACATTATTTGTAGCGGCTAAATGATTTTTGGACCAGTTAAGATGAAATTGGCAATCTTTCCAATGCACACCAGATGATCTTTTCAAGGCACAGTCATTGGGAATCGTTGCAATATAGAGGAATGAAAGTCCTCCGGATTTTTCCGGAATTTCAAATTTTCATGAAAATTCCTCCGGCAAATTGCCTAAAATTAATCCGGATATTAGTTGACAACATTGAACGAACACGCGTTAAGAGTTCGTTATTTTGCTCTCACGAGGGTAGCCATGTTGAGGTGTAGCGACGCCACTCGAGCGAAGCGCGCCTCAGCAGTCGATAGGCCGCTGCTTGCTGCTGTGCGTGTCAGCACGAACACGTACGCACGCGCGTCTTTTGGCTTCGACCAATCAGGGCCTACGCAACGGACATCACAGGTCAAAGAAGCTTTAAACTACGACAAAGCTAAGCCAGTCTAGCCGACACGACGCTCGAAGACAGACGGACACGTTGTACTGGTAATACGTGTGCTTTCTTTTCATAGCCCAAATGTGTATATTTTTTACTATAATAACTGTCTTGTCCACTGTGTCTTTTGTCGTTCCACTGAGGTTTAGCAAGTGTGTCTATAGAGACAAAAATGTTTTTCGAGGCACTAAGTTTTTTCAGGAAAGTCCACTTTCATCTCCAAATAAAAGCGTCAAGTGTCTTAACGAACCTGACGGAATGTCGCAGGTGGAGCTGGTGGCGCGCGCTTGCTGCGAGTACATGACGACCCACTTCCACCCGACCAACTGCTTGGCGGTGCGCACCTTTGCTGAGACCCACAGCCGCGTGGACCTGATGGACATGGCCGACCGCTACGCCTGCGAGCACTTCAACGAGGTGGTGGAGTGCGAGGACTTTACGAGCGTGTCACCACAGCACCTGTGCACGCTGCTGGCCTCCAGCGAGCTCAACATCCACTCAGAGACGCAGGTCTACAAGGCGGCCATGAAGTGGCTCAAAGCCAACCCGCAGCACCACCATGCCTGGCTGGACCCCATCTTCTCTCAGGTTCGCGTCATTTTATGGCTCGCTGTGGTTGTTGACACACACTCCTGCCCAAATGCGTTTGGTCTCCAGGTGCGCCTCCCGCTGCTCCCTGTGGAATTCCTGACCGGCACAGTGGCCAAGGATGAGATGATCAAAGGCAGCCTGGGCTGCCGCGACCTGATGGACGAGGCCCGGAACTACCACCTGCACATCAGCAACAAGGTGGTGCCTGACTTTGAGTACTCGGTCCGCACCGTGTCCCGAAAATACACCGCAGGTGCTTGCTACACTCTTCTGTGTGTCCTTTTGCGTTTTGGAGCAGTTGTCAGAGTAATGTCATTATTTGCTTTAGGGGTTTTGTTCTGTGTGGGCGGACGTGGGGGTTCTGGTGACCCGTTTCGCAGCATCGAGTGCTACTCCATTAGTAAGAACAGCTGGTTCCAGGGCCCTGAGATGAACAGCAGACGGCGTCATGTTGGAGTCATTTCTGTAGCAGGTAAAAGTGAAAGCCTGAGAAAAATGTAACATTTACCAGGGTTAAACTGTTGCCATTGTACAACTTTTATAAACAGTACAAACAACGTATTAGGAAAAAAAAAATTGTTTACAATACACACGTAACAAGATGCTAATGTTGCCAATGTCGGAACATTGCTGTTCCTCGCAGGAATAAGCACAAACCAGGAACAAAGTGCAACCTTTTTGAATGTGTTTCATATAATCCGTCTATAAAACATGTCTTAAATGCTTTTTTTTTTTTTCATTTTCACTTTGTGGTGTTTGTACAGGGAAGGTTTACGCCGTGGGTGGACACGATGGTAACGAGCACCTGGGCAACATGGAGGTGTTTGACCCGCTCACCAACAAATGGATGATGAAAGCCCCAATGAACACTAAGAGGTACTTGCCTGCCATATATTGTGTTCGTGCTAAGTGCTACGTTTACTTGGCTTCTCGAAATGCGAGAGTGGTCACAGACTAAATCACCATCGCTATTGGATTTTTTTTCAAAATAGTTCAATTCTAATGTCCTGAGGTGCACCTGTTTTTGTACAGGAGAGGTATCGCTCTGGCCGCACTGGGCGGTCCCATTTACGCCATTGGTGGTCTGGACGACAACTCGTGCTTCAACGACGTGGAGCGCTATGACATCGAGAGCAACTGCTGGAACGACGTGGCCCACATGAACATGCCCAGAGGAGGCGTTGGCTCCGCGGCGTTGGGCGTAAGACGCGAAATATGTATACGCGCGCGCTCCGTCCCATCTCCTCCTCTTCACCGCTTTGCGTCCTCCCGCCGGCAGACTTTTGTGTACGCAGTGGGCGGCAACGATGGCAGGGCGTCGCTGTCGAGCGTGGAGCGCTTCGACCCACACCTCAACAAGTGGATCGAGGTCAGCGAGATGGGCCAGCGGCGTGCCGGGAATGGGGTCAGCAAGCTGAACGGATGCCTCTACGTTGTGGGTAAATAGCGACTATGACACTTTCATCCACTTGGGGACTGCCAATGGAAATGAGAATTTCAGCCATTTTGTTGACTTTGGGCAAGAAGTGGGGTACACCCCAGACTGGTTGCCAGCCAATCACGGGACACCTTCCGATGATGTTGTCCAAATTGCGCGTGTGATCTAGGTGGTTTTGACGACAACTCTCCTCTGTGCTCTGTGGAACGTTATGACCCGCGAATGAACCGCTGGGAGTACGTGTCCGAGATGACCACCCCGCGCGGCGGCGTGGGTGTCGCCACGGTGATGAGCCGCGTGTTCGCGGTGGGCGGCCACAACGGCAACATCTACTTGAACACGGTGGAGGCCTTCGAGCCGCGTATGAACAGGTGAGAGGCACACATGGGAAGGATTTCATCTTTTTTTTTTTTTCTTGGATAAAGTATCGATGCGTAACGCCCCACCCCCTTCCAGGTGGGAGCTGGTGGGCTCCGTGTCGCACTGCCGAGCCGGAGCGGGCGTGGCCGTTTGCTCGTCGCACGTGAGCCATATCCGAGATATCGACCAAGGATCGAGCAACGTCGTCAACTGCATGTAACGGCGGGCCGTTAGCGCACACCATCTCTCCTGGTGCTCTTTCTTGTCATCATCCTTCCATGTTGTCCATTTTGTTCATTCTATGACCATGTATGTCACACGAGCTCGTTTCATTCAAGGAATTGACCGTCGACTAAGTAACGACGCCTCACACTGGTGGCCTGGCATTATAATTTTGGGTCATGAGCTAACAGCAGCACAGCATTATTTAATAGATACCAGTGCATTACTTATCAAGCAGACCCAGGTGCACTTTCTTTTTCAGTTTTTTTTGTTTGTTTTGTTTTTAAAGTAAATTAACTTTTCTTTTGAGGACGTCTGCATAGCTTTACCCATAGCCCAGAACTTTTGAACCGCTGTGATTTGGCCAGTCTGTGATTTGGCCAGTCTGTTTACAGGGGTATGACCGAGGGAAAATGTAATCCTCAAAATATCAAAAGAGGACGTTTATAAAAAGCTCCAAAAACATTTCACTGATTAACGAGCACAATATTTGATCATGATCATTTGTTTGCGTCATCATTTTTCAGAAGTATAATATTTATATGTATTTTTAATTTTTTTTTTTACACACTATTTTTGGTGGGAAAACTAGCTAGAAACAACATAAAAGTCGACCGGGTTCAAATAACATTTTCACATGGTTCAAATTCGCTAATCTTGTGTCCGACGAGGTTGACATGCCTTGTGTCAGTGAATTCCAACATAATTTCAACCGCATCAATCATCATGCTTGAACAATCATGGCTGATAAAAGTTTTTGAATTAAAAGTGATTGCTGTGTTGCACAGATGCATTCAAAGGTGTCAGGGACTGCTTTTTGTGCGGGGGTTTTTTTGTTTGTTTTTTTTGGGATGTTGATAGCTGGACTGTCAGAAGCTAAATCACACACAATTTTCCAGTCCCGATGAAAAAAGATATATATATTTTTTAATATATTATGGACACTTTTGTAATATACAAACATCGCTGTATCAAAGCTGTCATGAGTGTTACAATCTTTAGTTGGGCTACAACTTTCTCAGCGAAATAGAATTGGATCTTTCACATTTCTTGTCACAGAGTGGCATTTCGGGCTACAAACATTGAGTTCCTTGTTTTTATATTTGGTCAAACTGCGCAGCGAAAAGACACTGGTTCAAAAGGTTGAGCCTGAATATGTCCCATTTGTTCACTCGTGGTGTTGTTTTCCACAGTACTTTTGTTGTAACTGTTTCAATAAATTTGGGAAAATTACAGAGTTCTGTTGTCTGCAATTAGTTGTCCTAGAATGTGGATAAAAAAAATTTTAAATATTTTTTGTTAGGGGGGGAAACAAACTTGAAGTGTCACCCCAAACAAAAAAGAAAAGTAATAAAAAGCAAGTTCTTGAAATGTTTTTCAAGAAACTGATATTTTTATGACAAAATATTTTTTAAATAAAAATTTCAAGATTTTTTTTGTTTAATGTGCATATATTTACAGTATATCTGTGTGCCCACCGATTGACTGCCGACGAGTCCAGTCCAGTCAGCTGGGATAGGCTCGTCTTCACACGTATTTTCAGTTCTCGTCTGTTGAACAAAAATATATTGTTGGTTTTTTTCAAATGCAGCATTGCTTTGCTGTTGAAGATGTGGTGGAATAAAGTTAAAAAGTGACTGTTTATTGAAGCAAAGACATGCGCTTGTTATAAAGTGCTGGACTTTGTAAAGTGGAACAAATAAAAAAAGTCAGTGACCACACAACTTTCAAAATATCAGGAAAACTGAAATGTGAAAACAGTTGGAACATTTTTTTGGCATGTTTATTCAGCATGTATAAAATGTTTCAAGAAAAATCCGAATTCAAATCTGAGTCTTTTAATCGCAAAAAACTTGTGTATTTTGCATTACAGTATTTTGTGCCCTTTCAATTTTACACACTTAACATGTTGTAGGACTCATGATGAGATGCGCATGCTTTACTGCTTGTACACTTTGGACTCTTTGGGCGTGCGAAGCCAATGAAGTTTGATAATCTTCAGACGAATTACACATTGAGCTCAGAAGAAGCATCAGCCTCCACAGTATGCCACAAAGGCGAGCATCAAGAAAACAAGTCAAAGATGAAGAGTAGAGCGAAAAGATCACTTGTGCTGCTGATCGTCTGCTTGGCCGCTTTTCTTGCTCTCGGTAAGTTTTAAGTGGGTTTATGTTTGGGGTCAGCCAATCATCAAATTCAAAACATTCAACCACGCGGCATTATTTGTGACATGAATTAAATGAAAATGCATCGTCGTCCACGCAAATGTTTTCCTCCATATCGGAAAGAAATATATATGTGTGACCGGGGGTCACAACTGTGACGCTTCAGTAACACCAGACACCTCGGTGAATTGTGTTTTTTACAAGATTTCACGAAACGCATCACACTTAGTAGAAACAGCTGCGCAACGAACAATCATGGCGGCCGCGACGAACTGCGAGCTCACACCAGTAGTACAAGTGGCAAAATGAAAAACAACACGAACAACTATATACAGTAAAACCGAAGAGAAACAAACATTACCTGCAACACATAGTGGCGGGAGGGATGGGTGCAGTCGCATTGGGTTTCGGTCTCGGAAATAACTGCGCAAAAGACAAGCAATTTCTATCAACTGAACCAGTAAAAACCTTCACTCGGCAAAACAGAATTTAAATAACAATATAAAACGCTATGTGGGCTCAGAACAAATCAGGGAACTAATTAAACACACCACACAGTAGAAAAAGAAAAATGAAGTGGAATATTGTCATAAAATTATAAATGAATCCGGACCATTAACAACATTGGACTTACCATGGGACTTCCTTGTTAGCTCTGCCTGAGCTACGGCGGGAAGCTGTGCCAGACTGTGCACAGTTGCGTCACTTCCGCCATAATTTAATAATCTTATTGTATCACTTCGTCACGTTTTTGTTTTGTTTCGCATTAAAAATATGCTCAAGGCATACAAATGTGTTTTTCTTTATTTTCACAGTTTGATTTTTTTTGGGGGGCGAAAAAGTAATTTTAAGGTTTGCATTCTGTCATTGTTTATTTTAGATGGAACTGGTTTTTGAGGTTCACCCCAAAAACATGATTGGGATCATTACGATCATGTGAATGTAATAATGAAGATGGGGGAGTTAAACATTATCTAAAATTCATCGTGAGGCTCTAAAGTCATGAGACTTTTACAGTTTGTGCATTTCAACGACAATCTCTTTGTACTGTACATGAGTCACAGTTTTAACAACAGCAACAATTGAGTCAACTTATTTTCGCACTTTCAACCAGTTCAATTATCTATTCGCCGATTTGTGTGGCTTCTCCAGAACTCAAATAGTCACACACGTATTGCTCTTTGTCACATTTATCAAGACGGCAAAGACCCGTATTTGTGTTGTATTTCCAGGGCAGTGTCAGTGCCAAGCAGGCTGGCGAGAAAACGACCACAAATGTTACTACTTCTCCGCTGACACAAAGACGTGGTGGGAGGCTAACACCTTCTGTTTATCACAAAATAGCAACTTGATGAGCATTCAGGACATCCACGAGAGGGTGAGGCGCTACATCGTTAAACTGTGATATGAAGTAAACCAGTAAACAATTTTGTCACTGTATTCTCTTGTACTTTTACCTAAATCATCATCTACACAAGTTCAAAGTGTGAGTGGTTTTGTCACGTCTGCCGCTCGGCCATTTATTCTGTATTAATTTTCATGTACCATTTCTTGTAGTTGTGGGTGAGGACGCAAATCGGCACGGAGATCTTCTGGATCGGCCTGACAGACGGAATCACCGAGGGCGTGTGGGAGTGGACGGATGGGAGTCCTTTCATACAATACATATCGTATGTACCAATCAGGAAGTGTTCAAATCAGGTCACAACATGGGCCAACAAGGACCAGTAGCATTGCTCAGGCTACATTCTTCTTCCTGGTCCCGGTAGATTTCGATGGCTCAATATTTTTTTTCATCAGGTACTGGGTTCAAGGTCAGCCTGACAACTGGGGTGACGAGCCGGGTGAGGATTGTGGTCAGGTGGTGGGCGGCAGCTCGGGTCGCTGGAATGATGAGCACTGTGACATCAAGAGGAAATACATTTGCAAGCATGCCAACTGTGAGTGCATTGTCTGCATTTTGTTGCAATACAGCTGCAGCGCGATGATGCCCACCGAATACTAAGAGGACAGGCCTCTTCAGATTCTGTATTTTGCTGAGAAACCTTCCTTTGGTTTGCGTGACTGATTTTGAAGAACATAAGCAAATTAAATTGGCATGGCAACACAGAGGCTAAATGGTTGTAAAAGTAGCCCAGTGCTACTTGTAGTGCTTAGTCCCATCGAAGGCTTTTCTGGCTCCTGAACTTCCACCACTTAGCCAGACAAATCCCTCAAAATGTGCTCCCAGCCAATCCGGGGCCACAGTGTGATCTGAGCAATGGGTGGGACCGGTACAGCTCCAACTGCTACAAGGTGAAATCGGAAACCGCCAAGAGCTGGTCGGCGGCACGTCACGACTGCATCGTGGAGGGCGGCGACCTCGTCTCCATCACCTCAGAGCGGGAAGAGCTGTACGTGACCGGGATGCTGGATCCTTTCCTGATCGACCTCTGGATCGGACTCTCCAATCTGGTAAGACAAAATCGCTTGCAACCGTGGCAACTATTCCAGGTACTGGATTGAGAACCTGGATTGGTTTTCCACAGAAATGCAATAAGATCTCGTGTCAGCTCCAAGAAGGAAGCGTACACATGAACTGGTCCGACGCCCTGCCGATAAACTACACCAACTGGGCACCGGGTGAACCCACAATGTAAGAAAATCTCATTGTTGCACCGTGAATTTCCAGTCTCCTGCTCCGACCGTGAAATCATCAGATCAGGAACGGGAAGGGGGAAAAACACTTTAAGACCCACACCATATGATAATTGCATAGTACAGACGTCAAGCTCCAATTAGGCCTGCTTACCCGACTATGTACACCCCGCTTTCCGCAACGTCTCCAAACAGCAACAGCGAAGTGGGCTCCTGCACGGCGATCATCAAAGATCACTCCGATGAGTTTGGCAAGTGGAGGTCACACCTATGCCGTCACGAGCGTCCGTACATGTGCAAACGGCCAGTGAACAGTGAGCGACGCCGTCATTTATCTGCACTTGAAATATGAGAAACGCGCAATCATCGCATCCCCGCTTCAGCCATCTGCCCTGCCGGATGGCACAGTTTTTCCGGAAGCTGCTACTGGCTAGTCAGCAACACCGACCTGCTGACCACCTGGTACGAGGCCTTCGCCACATGCTCCAATGAGGGGGCTCACCTGCTCGTCATCAACAGGTAAACTCTGGACATCATTGCAGCTTAGGGGGGTAAGATGGCTTATCATCTTAAGGTTCGTCGCTCCTACGTATAGAAAGTGTCAAAATGGAACTCATGTTGTTGTTACAATAGTCTTATTTTAGTATGTAACAATAATATTTAGTGGGGGTCGGGTGGGGACTTCCAACAGTCGTATTTTAACCTCTGCAACTTTGAATGGATTTCATGGTCCCATATGGTGGTCGAATTTTAACCTACACACCTCTTATTATTTTTTTTTCCTGCAGCCAAGACGAACAATTCTTCATTAATGGGAAACTTCCTGACTTTCACCAAGTGGATGTTCCCGACATCTGGATTGGTTTATCAGGTACACCATTTGCTTTTCTTCTCCATCCATCCAGTTTTTGGGTAATAGATAGCAAACGCCTCCAAACTTCGGACCCAAAATAGGTTTTGGCTGATTGACCAGAGCAAGGTGCTGTAAGCTATTTCAGTTGGCTAGTTTCAGTCCTGGGAACAAATGGTATTTTCAAATTTTGGACGAGTTGGCTTTGTCAATGAGTCGCACATACTGAACATTTAACCATCATTGGTGTTCCAGATAAGGACCAGGATGGGACATTCCACTGGGTGGACAAAACCGCCGTTAACTACACAAACTACGGACCCGGTTGGCCCAGAAACACTGCAAACATCTGGGACTGCGGAATGATCTTCACAGGTAGCGTGCGCTTTACCCGAACACTGACTACCAAATGCAATCACAAGACCCAACACGTATATGTTGTTGACCCCAAAAAGGAAATTATGAAGGAAAATGGGAAACCAGCAGCTGCTTCAAGAAGCACGGTTACATTTGTGAGATGACGGGAGGTCAAAACCCCAAACCGACTCCAGCGCCGAGTGAGTCTCACAGTTGCTCCCCCCGACCCCAATCGTCAATACCTTCAAGGTTTTGTAATAAATGTTTCTCCACTTAGCTTCCCACTGCGACCCCGGCTATTTGCTGTATGGTGATTTTTGCTACCTTTTCGAGGGAGAACTGGTGAAAACGTGGCAGGATGCAGAGACTTACTGCGTCGCACAACAAGGTCACCTCGTCAGCTTTCACTCGCAGGAAGAGCTCAGCTTCTTGATTGGTGAGACGAACTGTCACTCGGGGATTCGTTGCAACGTCAGAATCATCCCACTGTACATCATAACATCCTTCAAGTTTGGCTCCGTTCTTTGACAAAAGCTGATGTTCTCATCTTTTTTTTTTTTGTTTCCCCTGAAGCCCACATGCCGGGAAAGGCGTGGGTGGGACTCAATGATATTAATATCGAAAGCCAGTTTGTGTACACTGACGGAACAGCTGCAGTAAGTGGAACACCTACAGTACACTTAGTCTCCCCGAAAAGTTTTTCATTTGGAAGAAATTCAGAAAACACATCTTGAAATGCAAAAATAATCATCATATTAAAAGTGAGCGACATTCCAAATGTTTTGCACAGAACCTTCTCCCGTGGGCACCAAACCAGCCGGACAACTGGCAGAACAACGAGGACTGCGTTCACCTGGAAGGCCCGATGCACGCAGAAGCGGGGAAACTCAAAGACGACTTCTGCACAGCCACCAATGAATTCATCTGCAAAAAAGGTCCAAAAGTCATTCACTCTTTCTTTGCATGTATTCTAATGTGGTCTCTCATATTTCATACTTACGGCATCCCTGCAGCCAAGGGCCAGGGGCCTCCTCCCCAGCCGCCAACATCAGGACCAGGTGGATCTCACAAACACACAGCGCGTTTAACACCGCTCTCCCTTACACGTACGGTTTGGTTGTCAAGAAGCATTTTCGTTGCAGGCTGGAATGAAAAATGCGGCTCGTGGACGGCGGACCCCTTTAATGACTTTTGCTACCTGTTCAATTACCTGTCGGCGAGGACCTGGGCTGAGGCGCGAGCCGACTGCGTCAACCAGGGAGGAGACTTGGTCAGCATCACCGACCCCTATGAACAAGCCTTCATACAAGGTGCACCAACCATTTCGTGTCTCGGAGCTAAAGTTCTGGGTTCAATTCTCAACTCTATAGCCTTCTGGTGTCCAGTTTGCATGTTTTTGCGTCGCTGGGGAATCCTAAATGAGTGTCCCCTGTTAGGTGTGATTCAGGTGAGCCCAACCGGGATCTCCCTGTGGATGGGCGGCCATGATTCCATCACTGAAGGCGGCTGGGAGTGGACAGACGGATCCCCGTTCAGATACGTACGCTGGAGTGCAGGTGCATTTCAAACCTCTGTCATGTTTTTAGGTTACAATGTTGATAAACGCAGTGCTTTAAGATCTTCTTTCTCCTTACAGGTAACCCCGATAACTACTTTGGCGAAGACTGTCTTTCCATCATCATTAACAACGGCTACTGGAATGACGATAACTGTGAGAACAGGAGAGGGTACATCTGCAAGAGAAGAGGTAAGATGCGATGTTCCAATTCTTGCTGCACATCGCTTCAATCTCTGGGATTCTTTTGCAGGAAGGACACCGGAACCCCCACCCCCTCATGATGGTACGTCACTTTCAAGTGGTATCTTAAAAAGATGGCGGACAAAAAAAAAAATAACGCAATCGTGCTTTCACAGGCTTCATGACGGTAATCGCTTGCCAGGAAACATCCGTTGTACTTCACTGTCCGCAAGAAAGCGTCATCAACATCCAGTCGGCTTTCTACGGACGAAAGAGTGGTGACGTCTGTCCACATCTGGGAGGGTCAGATGGTAAGATCCAAGAATCCACGACCGGCTACTTTGATCCACAGTCGTCGTATTTTTTTTTTTACCCCCTCATGCACCCTGTAACCTGATAACATGATGAGCTGTCCACTGTCGTCACCGCTGGAAATCTTAGCAACCGGTATCACTTGCAGGGAGCTGCGCGGTGGAAGGCGTCCTCCCGTACTACAGGAAAGTCTGCGACAACCGTCCCTTCTGCTTTGCGTACGCATACGCCGAGGTGGACCCCTGCCCCTCGGTTTCCAAATACCTCGAGATCGTCTACAGCTGCGAACAGAAAGGTGGGCTTTACAGCTTAGTCCAGTTTAAAAAAATAAATACAGATGATTTAATCCCTCGGAAACAACCTGGAAGTAACCTGCCCCAACAATGACTTTTGGCTGTTCTCAGTGTGTCTTCACGGTCTGGGTATGGAGGACAGGAACATCACAGACTCCCAACTTTCAGCCTCCTCATCCATGAGCAGCTTCACCCCCAACAAAGCCCGCCTGAACGGAAACTCCTGTTGGAAACCAATCGGAAATCGTAAGTAGAAAGCTCACAACCATCGAGCGTTCAAATACACCCTGATATTTTGGCCAATGTAATGTCTTGCAGCCGCCGGCAGCTGGATCCAGGCAAGTCTTGGCCAGAAAAGAAAGGTGACAGGAATCGTGATACAAGGTTGTCCTAACAGTGACCACTGGGTCACGAAGTTTAAGATGCGGCATAGTATCGATGGACAGTCGTGGACGGACTACACAGCTGACGGGCAGGTAAGCAAGGCGGCCGTTCAATAAGACTCCAACATGATAAAATGCAAACTTAGACATGTTCTATTTTCAGTTTTTGCCCGGATCAACAGACAGAAACACCGCTGACACTCAGCTCCTCGGCACGCCTGTTTCTGCTCAGTACATTCGCATTCTGCCACTGGAGTATAGCGGTCAAGTCGGCCTTCGCTTTGAGGTCTTGGGATGCACGCCTGACTGTGAGCAAAACGCTCCGCCGCCAGATTTAAAAGCATGCGTTTGAATTCAACCTTACGTCTGACAGATGCGATCACCTGCGCCAGCAAGGCTAACTTCGACCTCGGCAATGATCAAATGACGTGAGTTAAACTTGACATATTTTCCGTGTGACATGTTTTCCACTTTAATCCAACCCATGTCTTCTTCAGCGTCCACTGTCCAGCGGGTTGCGCCAAATCCAGCTACACCGTCTATGGAACCGACATCTATCGAGCGGTATGAGATTGCAACAACCGCCCGTTGAGTTTTATCTATGACCAAGATTTTTTTTCTGGTTCGATTGGGACAGGATTCAAACATCTGTGCAGCCGCTATCCACGCCGGCGTCGTTCTGAGTGAAATCGGAGGAGATTGTACTTTGCTGAAAGCTCAGGGACAGAATTTTTATGCTGGCTCAACCAGGAATGGGATTACTTCGAGACAGTGAGTGGCGAGGATAACACTGCTAAATTTAATGAAGAAGCTGAGCTAATTATGACGATCATATCTGCAGATATGACGGCGAATATCCTCTGTCTTATACTTTTGCCAATGGAGGTAAGTGTACTCCCATTTTTTTTCCCATGTTACAACATCAACTGTTCACAACTGCGACACTCACATGGGATCTCATCTTCAGAGCTGAGATGTTCGGGACCCGACTGGTACGAGTTCGGGGAGTTCTGTTACAAACCATTCGAGGACAAAAAGACATGGGCCGATGCTCAGGACACCTGTAGGAGTCTCGGTGCTGAACTCGTGTCCATCCGCTCCATGGTGGAGCAGAGCTGGCTGGAAAGTTACCTGTACTTTGGTGCGTAACACCATTCAAACACATAACGGTCCCAATCAGAACTCAAAGAAAAGTTTCATATTTCAATGAGGGGTTTGTGCCTGTCCATCCTCTGCAGCCACCAGTGACATGTGGACAGGATTGAATGACTTATTAGTTTCCGGCATGTACGTATGGTCAGACCACCACATGGTGACTTTCACCTACTGGGCCCCGGGAGAACCTAACAACCATCACGGTTTCAATGACGATTGTGTGAAGATGTTACACCAGGTGCGGTGACATAGCAAGGATGTACTCATCCACCACTTTATGAACAACACCTGCAAAATCGCTTGACAGCGATTCGTTTTTTTTTTTTTTACTTTCAGACTGGCAGATGGAATGACGTATCCTGCACAGAACTCAATAGGTTCATGTGTAAAATGCCCAAGGGGCATTACCAGCTTCCCTCAGTGAAGCCCACTGTGTACGGCTGCCCGCAGGTGGGACAGGCAAAACATCCTCGACACTTTTTATCGGTTTTTGTACTGTATGAAAGATGCGCATCCCCTGCTGGGTGTTATGCGTCAGGGCTGGGAGGCTTACGGCTACGGTTGCTACTGGATGGAAGAGACGGGTCGGAGCTGGTCGGACGCAAAGGCCTTTTGCAAAGAGCAGGATGCATTTTTGCTGCACATTGGAGACATGTGAGTAGCAAGTGTGTCAGTTTCAGTGCGATGAAAACTATGCTTGTATGTCCATTGAATTCATTTTAGTGGAAAAAGCTCGTCGGTCACTGTGAAGATAAGGACACACTACCGCCAATGTAGAGAGAAGCTTCCTTCAACTAATGTTTCATTGCAGATACGAGCAAGCACATTTTACGGTGGTGCTGTCAGGAAAAACAGGTTTGTGGTGGATTGGCCTGCGAGCCAAAGGGGGTACCGGCGGAGGGGTGCAGTATATCTGGGAGAACGGCTACCCAATGACCTTCACTCACTGGGACAGAAACCAGCCAGGTACAGAAGTGATCCTCACAAGAAATAGAGAGAAAGTTACACGACGTCATTTGATATTTATGGTCACATGTCACCAGATAACGGGGATGGCACATGCGTGGCCATGACAACCGGTCAAGTCGGGGGCTTCTGGGATGACAAGCAGTGCTCAGAGAAATTTGCCTTTGTCTGTGAGAAACCCCGGCCAGACATCACCCCGCCCACCGAAGCCCCAAGCCCTCCTCCCGCTCAGGGCTGCGTTGATAGCTGGACCTCCAAGCCCAATTTTAGGAATTGTTACAGGGTATAGCTTTCACACCTGTACAATAATTTCAATTGAGCCCCTAACCCTGGTTGATGAATCCATTCGTACTTTGTATGTCACATGACCATGTGGCTGATAGTTGATGTCTTGCAGCTCTTCCACAATGTGGACTGGTCACTGAAGAAGAGCTGGGGGGCTGCGCATGAAGACTGTGTGGCAAGGGGGGCCAACCTGGTCAGCATCCACAGTCAGGAGGAGGAGGCCTTCCTGTCCCTTTACAGCAAAGGAAGCAGCAAGTGGATTGGCCTGAGGAACAACCCCACAGAAGGAGGTGCGTCCATGGTGAAGGTCCCCGGAAACCATGATCCAAAGGAAGACTTCCGGTGAACTCCTCTTCATGGTAGGATATTCCTGGAGTGATGGTTCAGCACTCTCGCACACCCATTGGGGTCCCGGCGAGCCAAACAACCACGAGGGTCGGGAGGAGTGCGTGGAGATGGTTAGCAGCACCAACGGCACCTATTCCTGGTGGAACGATCTCAACTGCGATGCCCACCAAGACTGGATATGCATGATTGCCAAAGGACAGAACCCCATCCCGCCTCCGGTGCCCCCGTCGCCAGTACCGGGTAAACAAAACCCCCTTGTCGGGTTTAGGTCACTTTGATGCCTGGTCAAAATATAGCCTCGTGTGTCCTTGCGCAGCTCCTGATTGTGGCAGCAACCCCGGCTGGAGGAAGAACAACAACATGTGCTACTACTACAACGACACGGACATCGTGGACTTCCACACGGCTATGCACCGCTGTTGGGTCGAGAAAGCCCGGCTCGTCTCCATCCTGAACAAGGACGAACAGGCATATGTCAACAGCATGGTAGGACTTTACAGTTCTTGAAAGGATAATGTAGATTTTTATCTCCAGGGTGAAAATGGCTGATCTTGCGTGATTTATGTTTTGCCCTTTCCTCCAGGTGGGAACGGGGCAGATTTCTGCTGCTTGGATTGGACTGAGGATGTTGGGGATAGCAGATGGACAATACGCGTGCGTCATCTCGCAGCGTTGACTTAAAACGTGGCGCTCGATGGATCCGACAATTCCAAGTTCTTGATTGTTAATTCGTGCAGGTGGCAAGACAATTCTCCCGTCTCGTACACACATTGGAGTCCAGGTGAGCCCAACAACGCCAACGGGGAGGAACAGTGTGTTCAGATGAACAGACATCAAGGTACTGGAGTTCCTCTGACTGGAAAGTTGCCAGATGTATCCCAGAGCTGATGTTTTCTGAACCCCGGCACACTCAAGGTGGCTGGAACGACGTGAACTGCGGTCGAGCCGCAGCTGGGTACGTGTGCAAGAAGTTTCCCGGAACCGACCACACTCCTCCTCCCCCCACGCAACCCTGGGAGGGCTACTGCCCAGCCGGTAATGCTTCATGTCTATTCGTTTCACAAATAGGCTGGACTATGTTTTCATTGGCTTGGAAAAACATAACTTTTTCTTGAACTGAAGCATATGACTTAATTCTTGAGAAAAAAAAAAGACTATTTTTGAAAAATATATATTCTTGTTAATATTTGAAAATACAACTATTCGTATTTTGTGGTCTGCATGTTTTTGTCTGCTTTGTTCTGGCTAGACTGTTAAGAAAATATGAATGCATAAAATAGTCTTGTTTTCCCCTCCACTTAGGATGGATGCATTTCAACGATAAATGTTTCCTGTTCAAGGGAAAGAAAAACGATATTAAGGCCAACTGGACGTACGCACGAAGTTGGTGCAAAGACCAAGGAGGAGAGCTGGCCGTTATCGACAACCAGTCTGAAAATGGTCAGTAGGGAAACTTTGCCTGTGAGAATTACACTCTGGTGGCGTCCCTCTTAAAAAAACATTTGCATTTCTTCTTAGACTTTGTGTCCAGTTACCTGAAAGATATGGAGCTTCCCACGTGGATCGGTTTGTCTGACATCCTGGTGGAGAATCAGTACGCCTGGAGCGATGGCGTGAGCCCAGTCCTCTACACCAACTGGAACGGCAAAGAGCCCAACAACGCGGGGGGGACGGTGAGAATGTGCTACTCTATAGACTCCCTTCGTCCGTCTGTCTGTCTGTCATCGAAATGACTTTGGACTCCCAAAATCCTGCCGTTGTCACCAGGAGCACTGTGTGAGCATCCCTCACAGCGTACTTGTGAGCGGGAAGTGGAATGACGATGCTTGTCATAAAAAACACAGTTTTGTCTGCTTCAGGAAGAAATGTAAGTGCGTGGCCACTCAAAGGCGATTGGACAACTTCAAAATACTGATACTCACTCTGTTCTGCTGGTTCCACCTCAGCGAGCAGTATCGCGCCGCCTCATCCTACAAGCAGCCCCTGTCCCGCCGGCTACATATCCTGGTACCGGAACTGCTACAAGTTGGTGGAGGAGCCGGCGACCTGGGATGCAGCTCAGAAGGCTTGCGAGCAGCACGGCGCCAACCTGGTTAGCATCGACATGAGCTACGACCAGGCCTTTGTCGCCGGGGTGGTCCTGCAGGGAAAAGCTGATGCCTGGATCGGACTGAGGCTCAAGGTGCTGGGTCAGGCGGGGCGGAGAGAACACAAATAAATAGCTACAAATAGCACACATGTATCCACATGCACAGTTTTTTGAATAATACTCTAGTCTTGTGTGATCTTGTCTTGCAGGATGACGGCTCCTTCGCCTGGACAGATGGCTGGCCAGTATTCTTCACTCAGTGGGGTCCCGGAGAGCCCGACAACCTAAAAGACGAGGGTTGTGTCAGCATGCGAGGCTCGCCACTGTTTCACGGCACTTGGAATGACACCCGGTGTGACCAAGCCAAACCCTACATCTGCAAGATCTCCTCCGGTATCACCCCCCCCCCGCCTTCGCCGTTCATTAGGTTGATTTGCAAAGAGCCATCTAGTTTCACTGACTCAACTCAATCTTTCCTCAGAGAGACCACCGGTGACTCCCGCCCCCGGCGACGGGAAGTGCTTACCGCCTTCGCCGTTCATTAGGTTGATTTGCAAAGAGCCATCTAGTTTCACTGACTCAACTCAATCTTTCCTCAGAGAGACCACCGGTGACTCCCGCCCCCGGCGACGGGAAGTGCTTACCACTCTGGATTCCGTACGGTCGCTACTGTTACTGGGTCTACAATGAGCAGAAGGGCTTCTCCTGGCCCGACTCGCGACATTACTGCCAAGAAGCGAAGACCGAGCTGGCGTCCTTCCACAGTAGGGCGGAGTTGGAGTTTATCAGGAATCTCAACCACACCAAATATCACAACCTTTGGATCGGCCTCACCAGGGATCGCAACTGTGAGCCAACTTGAGTTACCTTTTGGGTCTTCTGTAGCTCAAATACATGCTAATTTTCAGAGGTGGCAAAAGCTTTTTACTTCCCACCACCGTGTGCTTGCTTACTTGTCCATTTACAGTTGGCTGGGGCTGGACGGACAAGACGCCTGTGGGCTTCCTCAACTGGGCTCCTGGTGAGCCCAATGCAGCTTTCCACCCGGGCCAAGTGGCCGAGGAGAACTGCGTGGAGATGTACCCCGACGGACGTTGGAACGACAACGACTGCCTGCAGAAAAGAGGCTTCGTGTGCCGTCACAGACAATGTAAGCATTCCGACGGGTCGAGAGTAGCGAGTGCTTCCTGGCAACCACTCAAGACTGGTCTTTGTTGTCTTTTTGTCATCAGACTACACCACAGACGATGGCGGAAACCCCGTTTTCCCCACAGATGGGCCAAATGTTGACAGTGAGCGTGACACTGACTTTTTAGAGTAGAACATGCTCGTGTTGTGTGATTAATAGCATTTCAATTTATTTATTGGAGTAATTTGAGTTACAAGCTTGGTCAGAGAGACTTGTATGTCAAGGTACCACTCTATTGCAAAATGCAACCTGATCCAAAAAAAAAAAGTGCAATGAGAGTGAAAAGTGAGAGGAAAAATCCTACCTGTTATTTAACTTCTCCCGGATATGTATCACTTAACTTGCAGACAGTGGCGTGAACGTCGGTGTCATCGCTGCAGTCGTTGTCATCGTCATTGTCAGCCTGATAGCCGGACTCCTCTTCTACGTGTTCAGCGTGCGAGGCTACAAGTTGAGCAGCCTAAGGCAAAGCTTCCCGAAATGGGCGACCGCGAACGTCGACATTGTGAGTTATCAATTCCCGAGAACTTGTTATTTTTTTAGTTTGGGTTTAAAAAAAAAAAAAAAAAAAAATTAAACATGCTAACAATTCATTTTTCTGTTGCAGCCTGCATTCATCAACCCCAACTTTGTGGATGACGTGGACAGATAACTTTCATAATGTGGCAAATATACATGTCGCACTTTTTGTCTTCTCCAGAGACAGCAGGACCTTGACTTAAGAGTGCACCAATTTAGTTTTCCACATTGTGATGAAAGAGCCAAAACAGAACGCTAAATGACAGCAGTGAACAAACAACATCATCAGCTCACTCACTGATCAATTACACTTTTAAGTCAAAGTACCTTTGTTTTGTGATATTGTGTGTAATCGACTGTACATTAACAAAGCCCCCGAAAATAAAATGTAAATGGCAAATGGATTTCCAGTGTTTATTTTCCTCTGAACACTGAAACAGAAAAACCGACACATTCCACAAAATGAGAAAAACATTCCAATACATCCTCATAATCATCATCTTAATCGTGATTACCAGTTGGGCCAGGACGTGTAAAACCATCGCCATGTCAATCGTTAACGTCTGCTACAGTTTGGACGAGGCCAAAAAAAAAAGTGAACCGATGGCGGGGTGAGATGACCTTTGAAGCCTCTGCTGCCACTCACACAATTTTTCGTACCTTTTTTGGGGTTAATGCACAGGTCCAAACCAACAAATGCTTCACAATTAAAGATTTTCATCAAGTGCAGGTTAGCACTTGGTGCTGTGTGAAAACAAAAAGAAACGTACTTTGTCATACTCCCCCGTTAACTGAAACGGAAGAGAAATCCGTAAACTTGACTCAACCTTACAATGATTCCAACTGGCCACTTTTTTTTTCGCCAAAGGAAAGAAAAGCGACAAGCTGCCCTCTGGAGCTGAAATTATTTCCCGATGCAAACTCATCTTGGGAAAGTGCATGTCTTGTCCAAAAAAAAACGTAATAGCAACAACAATAAATTAAAAAAATAACGTGCTGAAAGCTATGATTGGCTAGGGAAATGGTCCTCATCGCTAAGAGAACGCTGAGAGCATGAAGGCACTTGAGCTTGTGCTTGCTCTTTATGATGATGCCATTAATTGAGATGCACAGTGAAAAAACAAACTGTTTCACTTGAGGTCTCTCTCAGCGAATGGTGACGTCATTACAGTGCCCCTTTGCCTCGTCGTGGATTTCTTTTTACCCGTTTTAATGCTCCGCCTCAAATGCCACAAGATGGCAACAAACTACAGTAATGTATAGGAAATGAATAATTTTGCCAACTTGCGCCATCATGGCGTTAATAAACTACATTGAAGTGAGGGGAGGAGTTTTTATTAGGTAGATCAAAGCCTTGTACAGTACAATAGAAAAGTAGTCCTTTGTCGCCATCCGGTGGCAACTACCGGCAATTACATGCTGATTTTTATTATTTGGGTCATGGATCCAAGAGCTGGTCTGACAATTGACTGTGACCAAAAAATATTGCAGACTTTCTCACACACTATCAGAGGAGTCTGTAGCCCCTTATACACTGACCATAAATGGCAGCTTTTATTTGCATTCTTTTCCTGGCTTGCTGTCATATGTGAAAGGTATTGATCTGCGGTGGGGAATTTGAAGATGACACAAAATGTTTTTGTGGCATTACAGATGCTACAACACCAAAGCACTCCTTTTTTTTTTTTTTAATCACACAGTGCTTTGGATGTCTCATAGAAGCTCCTCCTACCACTTCAAAATAGTTCAGTGGTCACAATATGCTGCCAAAGCATCACTTTTCTCTGATACAGAGCTTTGTGCACAGGTGTTTGTCAGACCTAAAAAAAAAAAAAAAGTTTTTCCAGAGACTAACACAAGATAGGTTACTCCCCCCAAAAATCTGCAAAAAGGTGAATTCACGAATAGCATATCACTACTCAGCGGAGGAACACTGTATAAGACAATGCAGATAACAGAAATAGCAGTATGAACAAAAGTTGAGATAAGAAATCACTCACCATGATCCTGAATTAAAAAGCAATTGTATGACTTGGGCTGTTGTCGGGGCCTTCCACCTGGCCTTATCTTATAAGTGCAATTTTTGTTCAAACTCGGTGGCGAATCCACATAACCCACATTTCTAGAGTCCGTTTTCAACATGTGACCCACATACCGGGAATTCGATCGTAGGCTTCGGGTACCTTCAGCGGGCATTCGTTTGCGTTTTTGAGTTGTCCAGTCGCAGCCACGCCACGCCCCGTTGGGTGTAGCGCACCATGGCACTCACGCTAGAAGTCAGGCTCAGCGGGCCGACCGCGGCATCCAGCTTTGCCAGAAGACCTTGCAAGAAAAATGTAGATGTTCGTCAATATTTTAAATAAATCTAAATAAATACACATTACCAAAATACCTAAATATGTTTTGAAAATTTAACACCACCCTACCACTGCCTTTGCCTGCCATCTGGTCCGCCTGCTCCCACAGTTCGTGGGCACTCAGGAATAGCGTCGTGATGTTGACATAGGAGAGCGCCACCTGCTCCACGGCGACGGGAACAGCCACACTGCTGCCACTTCCGCAGGCTGGGGACGGGATGCTGGCCATAGGGGACGGCGTGCTCGGGCCCCTAGAATGAAGACGCGAGAGGAAAGGAAGGTGTGACGGCGCCGTGGCGTGCCATGCGGCTGACTCACTTTGTGACGCAGACGGAAGACTCAAGTGCGGGATTCTGGAAGATAATTTGAGCAGATTTTAAGAAGGCTGGCGAAAAGTGACGGGAATTCAAACGTGATGACAAATACGGACATTGAAGTGGTCGGTGAGGGTCTTGGAGTACTTGAGCGCAGTTTTATGCTTTTGGCGAAACATCGCCATCTGCAGGAGAGACTGGCACTTCAGACTGTAACACACCATGAGAGAGCGCTTCAACCTTCATCAAGACAAAAGCTCAAAGTATTAATGACTGGAAATGTGCATGTCGAAGGTATGATTCCACCAAGCAATGTGGTTGGCTAATCTCCTTTATTTATTTTTCAGGAAAGAGTAATTCTATGAGAGAAAAGTTGTGTTACAATGATGTTGTGTTACGGGAGCATGTCCCAGAAATGGTACCTTGCTCATCGCAATTGGTATGCTGCTTAGCGGAAACAAGACTAGATTTCTAATGAGATAGTGACCGTTACCATAATGCTACAAAATCCTTCTCTGAGGGGTGAGCAGACGTGTCCGCCAAGTTTTTAAGCTTCAGCACAAACCTGTGAAAGAGCACATATTGAAATGAGAAAGGGGGAGGAAAAACAAAACAAAAATAGATCAAGACCCAAAGGAGTACAGTGAACCCCAGCTGTATTGCCCAAGTGAGCCCAATCGATGTAGAAGACGGGTGAATGGAAATGGGCAATATTTCAATTCTCGTTTTTTTTTTTTGTTTTTTTGGTTTTTTTGCCACTATTAGTCAACTTCAAATGGGAGTGAAGCCTGTTGAGGCTTGATGTTTGAGTGTGAGAGCAGGCGCTACGGAAAAGCGTTTAAAAAATGTGTTAAATATGTTCAAGTGTGTTCAAAGCATGTGGGAAGTGTATAACCAAAAGAAGTTTTTTTTTTGTTTGTTTTGTTTTTTTTTTTATGCGGTCGCTTTCATGTGGATCTGTAACGATCCGGCTATCAGGCGCGACAAAAAGGGGTTCGTTGTACTGCAAAGACACTCGTGCTCTCACTTGAGGAGCTCCACCGTCTCGGCAAACATAGTATAGGAAGACATGGAAATCTGCGGGTCCTTCTCCATGGCGAGGCCGCTTTCCACGAAAAACATGGCGGCGTCCAGGTAATTGAAGGCTTTGCTGAGCTTGTCCGACTAAAAGGAAGCGCACCAGAGACTTTTGAGGTCAAACCTGACAAAGAGTAGTCAGTCTGCTTTCATGGAGGAATACATGAACGTCGAGAATAGCTTCTGTTGAGAGGCTGAAATACAGGATTTCTATAGCAGCTTAGCTAACCAAATTGGGATGACAATTTTCTTCCTCAACTAACGCAAAAACAAGAGATGGAAAGGATTTGGTGTCAGACCTCGGCGTCTGCTTTGTGCTTCAGTCGCTTGGCCTCCTTGATGTAGTGCTTGACCGGATACTGCCTGCGGGAAGTCATTGGATGATTAAACCTCACTGATCGTGTGACAAAACACACTTGATACGTTTAAATCTCACCTGTCCTTAGTCTTGAGAGAGTGTCGAGAGGTCTCGACTTCCCTGGGGGGCCGCAAGGACGACGGCCGCTTCTGCTGGCAAACCAAAATAAAGGGCATGTAGAATACTAGGTGACGCAGGGGTTCACAAACGTTTGTGGTCCATGGACTCTTTACCGGTGAAATTTTTCAAAGAGCGCGCTCATGATCCCAACTGCAGTTAAACTATAAACAACCACGTGTATCCCTAAATGGCAGAGGAACTAAAAACTTGCCATTTGCATTTCCTTTATGTTTACTGACATAATTTATGTATTTTTTTTTTTTTAAATGACTCCCAGAGCCCAGTTTGAGAACCACTGCGTTAAGGGAATGTTACCTTCTCTGCGTGCGTGTTCTTTGCGTGGCTGCTCCTCTGCTTGGAGGAGTCTTTGCTCTTAAGCATCTCCTCATGAGATCCTTTGTGCATCTTCGGGTCTTTAGTCGAGTCTTTTGTGGGCTTCTCCAAGTGCGCCTGCTTTTTCTTCGCCTTCTTGTGCTCCTGTTCGCCCGGTTGGGTGGCACAACCCCTAAAGGGTGAGAAGATCAAAATGTTGAGTGGTGACTCGACACAACGCACAAATGCTGTTTAAAGCCCAAACGATAGCACAAAGGTAAACAGTCACACTCCTGTCATTGTCCTCCCGTTACACCTCGAGTATTGCGTCAAAAGAAAATTTGCAGTCCCAAGTGCAACCGCTCAATCACACCATGGTACCCAACATTAAAAAAAAAAAAAAAAAAACACAAACGTTGAGCCAGGTAAGAGCTGGCTTCGGTTGGCCAGTGTGAAAGGGGCTGTTGTGTAACAGACATGAACGGAACAAACGCAGCTGTCCCCATCCGTCGAGATCAGCGCCCCAAACTAAACTGTACGGCACCGCGTGCTGGGAATTTCGCCTTTTGTGGAACCTACTCCACTTTGACAGAAGAATCCTTGTTGGATGATGTCATCTTTTTCTCCAGCTTCCGCTTCTTTCTGGGAAGAGTCTTGTCATCCAGCTCCACCTGGAAGTTGCCAAACACGGGTTTAAACACAAATCGGATAACTGACAGGTGAAAATATGTGAATTGTATTCAAAAGCCCAATATCCCAAACTCCTGACTAGTATGTTGTTTACGAGAGCTCACGGTTTGAGGTAGAGTCTTCTTGCTGGCCTTGAGGTGTTTTTTGGTCTCGACATTCCCGGGTGTCACCCGAGGGACTCTTGAGAGCAGACTGAGGTCGATCTTTACCAGTAGGCTTCCCCCGGGCCTGTTGTGGATGTCCTGAGAAGATTTAGGGGCACGGCTTGAACTCTTGCAGGACTTGTGGGTTGGGGAGGATTCTGCTTTGGGAATGGTTTTGGCTTCTCGGACAACTTCCACCTCAGCTTTGCTACTGCTGACTTTGATTGGTGGGGTGTGGGTAGAAATATGGCAAGAGCAGCTGTGTGGAGACGACGGACACCTACAGGTAGCATCCCGTTGGACCACTTCGAGCCTTGATTCGGTCTTTTGCATGCCTGCTGATTTAAAAGTCCTCTTTCTTTTCGGGTCACTGCTCGAGTTGTGTGAGTGTTCTGTTTTCGTTTTGACTTTGGGTCTGTCTGAGAAAGAGGGTGCTTTATCTGCTAAAGCATCCCCAGATAAAACATAGTCCTTCGGCGGTTTGCACGTTACGTCCGGGTGTTTCAAAGAACCGTCGTTAAGAGAGCTTTCGTGAGAACGGTCATCGTAAGGCTGCACTCTTGTCGGCTTTCCGCCGCGCTCAGCCGATTTTGTCGCCTCGGCAGTAAGGTGTTTGGAGCTGCGTTGCAGTTTGGGGGTAGGGTTCTCGCAGACGACGTTAGGGCCCCCTCCGGTCTCGTTGCCGGAGTTCTGTTGGGTGGACTGGATCCAGTAGCCCAACTGCCAATTGCCAGGTCGTGCCGTTGCGTCAGCCTAGTGAGAGATGGCATACATAAGTGCAATTCAGCAAAATATACACTCAGACTTCATTAGCTACAACACCAAAATATGTGCATTTTAATCTAATGACATAATTTAGACCGGAATCAAGATAATTACTAAATACATAAAATACGATGAAATCAAGTATCTGAGTTATCTGAGTAAAGCGGTTAACGCATTTTGCAATTAATGGAAGTGTGGAGTCTATTCGCTCTCATTAAATAAAAAATGCTTGCCTCAGTTTTGCGGCTCACCGTCGGTCCACAAGGCTCATCGGCTTCACTGTCGTCATCCGACTCAGATCGGGAGCTGCTGTCAGAATCACTGGAACTCGCCGACTCCACGTCGCTGGAATGAGCATCTTTGTGCAAACTAAAAAACAAAGCATGAAGTGATGATAACCATGGAACCATCCATTTTCTAATCTGACATCTTTAAATTACATACATGTGCACATCAACAGATGTTCCATAAACTATAGGTATATTATAATAATCAATGTGATGACATATCACTGACAATGTGATAATACCTCCGACTTGGCCTGAATTTCACAAATATTATATATACTAACGTCTGAATCTTCTGGGTTTTCTTGTTCATTTTATATTGAATTCTTCACTAATCCTGCATTTTTGTTCGACTCTATTGGTTGCCCTGTATTATAAGTAAGTGTTTATGCTGCTACGACAATTTCATGTCCTTCACGAGATGGGTTGTTTTCCCACATTCCGATCATAATAGGCACCAAGTGAACAGTTAGATTTAATCACAGCAGAGCATTATTTTGAAAATGAAGGATTAGTCAGCGGGTTCACACGAGTTCAATCAAACGCTTGCCACTCACACAGATTCGTCACCATCTTTAGTCATACTTGTCTAAGGAAGAATTTAGGACTCACAATAGTTGGGAGTTCTGCACATCGAGACGGTGAGGATCTACAGGGGAACCATTGTGGCTTTCTGGAAAGTAAACAAAAGCAAAGATGTGTCCCAATCCAAAAAAAGTACCCAAAACAACATTCAATCGAGTGTAATAAAAGAACACGAGAAGCCATTTTGTTGTATCAATCAGCATTCACTTAGCTTTCTGTATTTTCATGTCAATTGCCCGACAGAAGTAAATCTGCTTATGTGTGTCAGTTACAGATGGCAGTTTCTACTTTGCATGGTCCACAATGCAATGGAACAAGACCCGTTATTCTACTGCATTGTACTGTAGCAAGGGTGTGTTATTGACTCACGCTGCCGCCCTGGACATGAAGAAGCTTGCTTTTCTTCCTGTGAGGAGATGCCCACACACACACACACACACACACACACACACACACACACACACACACACACACACACAATTAGCTTGGTAAACTATCTTATTGCTACGCGTGATACAGTGGAACCAGAACGTCGCAAGACTATGGTCATACAATTTGGGATCTCGAGGATGGGGAAAACGTGTACAAAAAGTCAAGTTAGCATCCGTAGCAGCATACAAACCTACCAGTTGATCAATGTTACCTTTGCAGGGGTTGCTTCAGACTTGGGGATGTGTATGGCGGTCAGGAGTGGCGGCCAAGAGTGAGTCATCTCCTGCGGACACATAAAATGGAAAAAAAAAAAATTATCCATTGATAATGACGAGCCTATAGCAAACAATGAGGGTGTTGGGGGGGGGAAAAATCTGTAGAATGTTGAAAGAAGTCCTTACTGTAGCAAAAAAGTAAAATATACCTTCAAGATGTCTTCCACACACACCGCTTCATTGGTCTTTGTCTACAAAAAGTCGGAAAAGGTTATTTTGAAATGATTTCAGCATGAAGACTAAACATGAGGTCATTTTTATTTCGAACATGAAGCCGTCAGTACCATTGTAAACCAAGCACTGGAGTTCTCACCTCCAGATACTGCGGCAACATTTTGGCCTTTGCATGGTCGGACTTTTGGATCTCCTGCGGATGTAAGTGCGACTCTGGTGAAGGTTTCAACTCAGGCGAGCCACCGAGCAGCTGGTCCTGACCGTCCATAGGCCTCACGTACGCCGTGGGCTTCTGCATCACGGCAACGCTGGCTTGCTTTGACGAGGGCAGCGGCGGCAAGCTCTGCAAGAGCAAGGGGTTGCCGCTTTTGCCGGCCTGATGCAGGGAAGCGTCCGCTGGCGAGTGTCTGAGGTTTAACGCGGCACCGTCGGCCATATTTGCAGAGGGGGTGTCTGTGGAATCCTGGCGTGAATCAAAGGTGCTTTTAGCCTCACTGGAATGTAGGAAAGGTATCGGCTTGACGTCCAGAGACTGAGCAGAACTTTCCTGAGGACTCGTAGCATTCTCCCTGAGATCCGACAAAGCTGCAACCTGCTTTTGATGATCAACTGAAGCCTTTGGTATGGTGAGCGAGCATCCGTTGTGGTTTGGGGAGGAAGTGGAGATGTCCCTCGTCGTCTGAAAGGGGTAATTATTACTTTGACGGTTTTGGCTCGTTACGTGATGGGTCGGGTCTTGGACGAGAAATGTGCCGGGCCGACTGGTATTTGGCTGCCCTCGATCAGACTCTGTGAAGTTAGGCTGAGCTGCCGGAGGATCTGGGGAATTGTTGACATCTTCGTAGCTGCCCAGCATTCTCTGGATCCTGTTGGAAAGCTCATCACCTTTGTTTGTCTAAAAAGCAAGAGGGGAAAACATTTCATGTAAGGGCATCACACCGCACAAACAATAAATATGGTGTGGGAGAGCACTGTAAACACGTACTGCATATCACAGAATTATCTGAGGAATACTGAATTGAGCGTTGAAATGGGTTAAGTCAGCACCTCTGATCGAAAACGCTGACAGTTGTTGGCAATGTTATCTTAATCAATCGTCCCAAAAAACAAAAAAGGAAAAGCACATACTTTGTACGGCTGCCCGAAAAGCGGCACATTCTCAGCGCCGAGTTCTTTGGCTTGGCTGGTTTCTTGGTTTCTCTGTTCCCAGGCTCGGAGGCGGAGACGATTCCTTTCTTCATCGTATACGCTGTAGAGCATCATCAGGAGAGATCGATTTTAGAGCACCGATCCAGTAACGAGACACTGAGAGACATTCAAGAGAATAAAACGATTGTTTGGGAAGGCGCCTGACCCACTCCAGGGCGTATAGCAAGAGGTGAGGTTGGGATGCAACACTTTTACAGCTGCTCTTGCGGATTGGTATACGGCCGTTAATTATAAAGCTGCACAACGGCAGGTGTCATGAAGGGTATTCCTGTGGGACTTGAACATACTGTATGTCAACGTTTTGGAGCGTGGTGGATGTTCAACCCCACTGGAGTTAATTCCATAGCAACTGCAGCACCGTTTTGGTAGAAAGCCAAGAGAATGATGGCACGACCTGCGAGGATCACTCCCCTGGGGTGGGGGGAGCCTTCAGTCAAATCACCATCTTCCAAAATGATGAAACAAGAGGCTTTTTTTTTTCCAGGCTTGATCTGCGCAAAAGATACAAATATGTACCAGGGAGGGCTGAAGTCGACCAAGAGCTTTTGAGGCTGGCTGGCGGATGCGTGACAATGAATCCTTAAAGCCACGATTGGCGTGTAATGTTTTACACCGATCAAGAAACTCGTTTTGCCCACCGCTTTGTGTCAAAAGTCATGAAATATAAGCCCATTTCACACTACGTCTACACAGTCATTTTCCTGACTTTGCTGTTCTGTGTGAAAGGTATCAACATGCAATTTGGTGATGGGAGTTGACACCCAATATAGATACTATCAGAGGATTTATGGGAGAGCAGCTGTGTGTAACTTGACGTTTCACACTGGAGACTTTAACTTGTGTGCCCCTTTTAACACTGTCAACAACTTTTTGTTTTTTTTGGTCTATTTACATTGGTATACTTTCACCTATTGTGATTGGATTTGGAATATATAAACAAAAAAAAAACCATATGTCACACCAAGGCTGTGCTGTCATCGGGTGGTCACCGTCAACTCGCAAGCAACAATAAACAGATTTCATCATAAGCGAAGGCAGCAAGCCGCATCCTCTTTTATTTGTTTCCAATCAGGATGGGAATGTTGCATGACCACGGGCAGCGCTGACACTGACCAATGGAGAATTCAAACGCAAGACCTTACAGTAGCATGGCATAAAGGAGTCCCATGACCACATGCTTGCCAGTGTAAGAGGGAAAGCGTGCGGCTTCTGGCCAAAGACAACTGCGTCCGGAGCATCTGAGCCTCCGGGAATCTGCACAGTTTAAAGCCTCAGCTCAATTATCCATCTTCCCGTGCTGGCTCTGTTGGACAAACACACAGGGGAATGGGGTTCTGGCAATTCCATATACCCAGTGATGGATAAAGCCCATGTGAACTCTTTTGAGCAGTAGTTCTCTATTTTGTCTTGGACCAGGGGTTCATAAGGTGTGACCTGGGGGCAAGCAAAAATAAATTTGCAATGAAAACCTTAAAACCAATTCCTCCTACCTTAGCTTTGGGCCACTTAAGAACTTTGGAATGACATAACACTAATCCAAATCCTTTATACAGCCTTGCATGTATGAAGTTTTTTTTTTTTTTTTTTTTTTTGTCTTTGGAACCAAAGGCCGAACACTATGGGACTAAAATCCTGTTTTTCATTTAAGACTACAGGTGTATTTTTTTTTTTTTTGCCCCTAAAACTTTAGACAATTTTCAACTACATGCAGGAATGCAACCAATAAATTTACCTTTTCTTTGTAATTACTCTTCTAGGCTATTTTTTTTTTTGTTGTTGTTGCTGAGAAACTTCTGCTCCACACTTTGGCCCATTTATCAGTAATATTGTGAAAATGAATCGATATTGGGTTATTTAATTTGCAAGTCAATTTACAGTGTGCTATATTTCCCTATATCCTAAAACAAACAGCTTTGCCAAACCATTCCCAAAGAAGAAATATGAACTGGATATGTCAGTATAAGTATGCTCATCTTAGATTTCATTACTTCACACGACAGACCGTACCAAGCTGAGGAAAGCAGGTGGTCTCAAGCAAGAGCAATTTCCACTCATGTCGACTTAAAGTATATTTTGCCCATCCTTTGAATTAAGTATGAAGAAAGTTGAGGGCCGAAAGTAACTTATACTTTAATTTACACACCTTCGCTACAAACTTTGTCATATGGTGTCAATAAAATGGTTTATAAAAAAATAACAGTTGATTATTTTAAAGGGGTTCCCGATGTTGAAAAGGAACGCCAGTGACTTTACGCCAATTCCATAAAAAAAAAAATGTATATAAACCCAATATCGTAAAATCGCGTCAACAATCTGAGCAGCCCAGCTGGTAAATCAAAACGTCACTCCACCTCCCCGAGTTGAGTTTTAATTAAAACGAGCAGGGAAAAAAATACTTTTAAATACTTTAATTGTCATAAACCCCATGCGAACAGCTTGTCTTGACACTTTGACAGCCTCGAGGAACGAACTCCTGTCAAGTGCGAGACGACCAGCACCCTCCCCCGTCAATCTGCTAGCAGGCTAGCCGCCTTTGAATGCGCCTACCTCGGCTTAGTTGCCATGGCGTGCACCGCTCTTTCTCCAGATTGTCAAACAACCGAAGTTGGCTGTCGTGTGCTCCAGACTTTCGCCGCCGAGCTCGTCTTCTCGGCCCGCATTGTCACATCGTTTACTGGAAAGAAAACGCTGCAATAAACTGGGCTGTCACGCCACCTTTAGCTTTCGTTCGCTAGTCTCTGCCCCCTCGCAGCGAATGTTCGGATCGTCCATTCGCTGCCCAATGGACTTTTCTACTTGAAGGGGTCTCCTCGGTTTTATCTTCTTAAAGTTCGATACTAAATATTTATGACAACGTAATATTTTTGTTTTACACAAGGATGTAATTAAAAACTAAGCAACAGAAACGCCAAAAGTTGTTTCATTTGTTGTTGTTTTTCTCTCGTCATGTGCATTGCCCAAACTTTACTCTTTGGTCCCTATATGAGTGACATGGTACATCCGAATTTGTTTTAAGCCCTCCAGGTTCACGTTTTTTTAAAACACTGTTAAAGTGCGCCAAGGTGAATGTCGAGAGCTGGAAATGCGTGTACTCATGAGAGTAAACTTGCATATCTTCATTAAGACTACTGAGAACTAAAGTGGGCCGGTCTGAGCAATGAAACTCCAGGGCTGAAAAAGAGACTCACTCTGGCCCCGTCCACAGGTAATGTGAAATGATTCAGGATTGTTATTCAAGAAACATCTCTAGCATACACTGAGATGCATCGTTGGTGTTGTGAGTTTGTGACCAGGGAATGTCTCAGATCTCACAACATACATTCTCACCTGGGCATCCGAGCCAGGAATGATCAAGCCCCAACTTGCGGGACAGCAGCTCGGATGGACCTCATCTTTCCTGCCCCTGCGATGCCCGTTTGAGGAAGGAATTTGCATACTCAGAGCCCTGCAAATTATATTATTATATTTCTTTATAATTATTATAATCCACCCAACAATTAAGTGTTTGATATTTATGCCTTTTTGGTACTTCTTGGTATTTTCTCTTAAAAAAAAGAATGTTGGTGGGGAATATCTTGCTTCTCTGAATCAGGTTCTGGTTCACGTTCCTCCATGTCACTGTTGTAAATCCCCAAATCTTGAGTGTTGGTTGACTTTACCTTTGCAATCCGTTTTAAATTTTGTCCTTATGTTGAGGTTGAAAAAAAAAGAAGCAATGACTCAATCAAAACTCACACGGATTATTATGCTTTGCGACGGCAGTGTTACAAATTGACCACAAGGCGTCGCAAATTTCATTACACAGTCCAGTTTTCAATTAGAAAAATTATTGACCTCACTCTTTCTACGTCCTTCTACAAAATCTAGAAAATGTTGTCATTTTATACGATCATTCTACATATTATCATGCTTGTACAAATGTTGATTTAAAGCGTTTTATAAATTGGAAATCTGTTTGCGAACACATTTTTTGGGTTGGATACGTCACTTCATGAACGTAAAGATCCATGTCGATCACGAGAAAAAAATCATCTTTTTATAACGTCTTACACATGTGAATTAACTTAATTAATGACAACATGGATGGGAAATTTGTGATTATAGTCTCCATGAAAACTCGCTCAACGGTTGCATAATAAATGCCAAACGAGTGTTGTGTTCCAAATTGGCCTCTAGATGTCGCAAGTTACATTGAAAGTCCACTTTGTTTCAAACTCTTTTTCGCGTGGCTAATCCTGGATAATTTTTTTACAATTATAAAACTGCATTATTTTATATTCTATTATTGTTATAAAAGTGTCAGCCCTCAGAGCATTTTAAACAATTAGAAGCAATTGAATGAAGAGGGTTCCTTTCTTCTATTCGATCAATTTACTTTTTTTTTACTTATTCTTTTTGAATTTTGATTCATTACCGTTACTCGTAGACAAAAAATGTTGGCTGGCTGCCACAAACAAGAAAAAAAAAAGATGACTCAACTCTTCCTTCTGATGGGCGTTGCCTTTTCTACATCCGTGAAAAGAGAGTGAGTGTGACATTCTGGAGTTTCACCACCGGGATCGTCAAGCCTGTCATCGCATTTAGGTAAGATTGCAGCTCTCTTCGAAAGCTCAATAAAAAGCAATCTGTCGCTGTTTAGTTATTATTGTAATAATCAAAAGAATATCCTGCAATCAATTTAAATTTTATACAGGTACAATGTACATTATACCCTTTTGGATTCAGGACTAACGCGTTAACGGTATCGTTGATTTACGTAGTTGGAACATTTCGTTTGATATGGGAAGTTTGCGGAAGTAGATTCGGCGGTGATAAAGTTGAGCTGAAATATGATCTCTTGCATTCTGCTCTTTCACCGTAGTGCAAAACTTTACAATCCACCAGCACAAACATGTCCGTTTGGGTGAGTGCTTGGGGGGAATTTGCATGCAAAGTTTGGGGGCGCAAATAACTGAAATGAATTGAATCACGTTTTTGTCTTTCTTTCTCAATTACTGCAGGATGATTTGGATTTGCTGTTGGATTCCCCTTCCTCACTGAGTGTGACAGTAAGCTCACTTCAATTCATTTGTGTTTATCTGTAGTGTCACATTTCTAAAGTTAACACCTCAGGACACTTAAAAAATATCAAACAGGTTTTGAAACATTGTCCATACATGGTTGAGGGTTCCAACAGTTCTCATGTTTTAATTGTATTTATAATGAATAATAAACAAGCAATTATTTATGAAACCAAATTATATATAATGCACACAACGTATATGTACAATTGTTTATTTTACGAATATTTTTATTGAACCTACATTCAACACTCAATTATTTTATTATGTATATGGAAAAAAAATCATACAGTATTAGCAAAATTTAAAAAAAAGTGACAAATACTACAGGAGTGTTACTCATTTACTGTATATGTTTAGTGGGCATGTTGAAAATACTGTACGTGACCTACCCCTAGTGTAATGCTCCTAGTTGTGTGTTTATTGTTATTTACTAGTCCAACACAAGGGGGACTGTGAAGGACAAGGCCAATTTCAAAGTGGAAGAGGATGTGGCTGCTATAAGAAAGGCAATAGAGGGCATTGGTAAGACTATTATCTTTGTTATAGCCACTTTTTTTTTCCATTTTGCAAATATTTAATCTTTGGTCTATTTTCTCTTCTCTTGCAGGCACCACAGAAAAGACCCTGACTGAGGTGCTGGCTAAAAGAAGTAACGCTCAGCGGCAGCTTATTGCTCAAGCCTACGAGAAAGCCACAGGAAGGGTAAGTGTGAAATATTGTGATTAAGATTGCGCATGGTGGACAAATGCCAAGCGGTCTCCATCAGGCTTTAATAGCTGACCTGGAGGGCGACACCCACGGAGACTTTGAGGATTTGTTGGTGGCCTTAGTAAAACCTCCTGCCGTCTACGACTGCCATGAGGTCATCAAAGCCATTAAGGTGAGGTGAAGCGCTCGTTTCACAGCAGGTGCACTGTGGTCTAAGGTTTAGTACGTACAGTATCTTAACCCATTGATTAAAACGTAAGCTACCTCACACATGACGAGACAAAAACAGCATGTGTTTTTACTGCTCTTACAATGTGTGGTGTTGTTGAGATGACCAACAAAGCACACGTGGCAATCATGAGGGCCGTCTGCCAAGCCAAACGTGTGGCGTAGTGCCAAGACTGACCTGTGCGAGGAAGTATGGTGCCACAGGGCATCCAGACCGCAGGAAAAGCCTAGAAAGACAAAAAATAAATCAATAAATTGGACCGTAACCGCCTGATATTCGCAAGGGATATGGGCTTAGCCCTGCTACAAATTGCTAAAATCTGTGGGTAATTGACACATCCCAAAAGATGATTTACAATTTGTCCTTTCCAGGGCGCAGGGACCACCGAGAGCACGCTGACTGAACTCTTTGCGTCGAGATCCAACAGGCAGATCAAAGCCATATCTGACGTGTACCTGGCAGGTGAGCGTCCTACACCTCAGAGGTTTGGATTCCGCCGCTTAGCAATTGCTTCAAGGCAGTTCACGACGCAACATGTTTGTCGTAGAGACGGGGAAACTCCTAACTCACGACCTCAAGTCGGAGGTGTCTGGAGATTACGGCAAAGCACTGCTTATCTTGGCCGAGGTACGCTTGGATTCAACTGATATATTCTTTAGTTAGGGGTCAAATCACTATAAAATCAGATCATATTTTAAATGAAAAGTGATGATATTAACTGCGTTGTTGGGTTCATCCTCACAGGGGAAGAGAGACGAGAGCTCCTTTGTGGATGCAGCCAAAGCTAAAGCAGATGCCAAAGTACTGTATATGCATAACCTTCACTCACCCAAAATAGACCTCATGACTTCACATCTCGCCAGGCAATAGATTTGTGAGGAATGTTGCCACCATTACCTTGAAAAAAAAATAGCGTTGTGACGTTATTTATTTTAAAAGTAGCTCATTTCGATTCAACAGATAACCACGCTTACCATAAAATTGTCAATTGCGCACACACACACACATAAATTAAGGGTTTGTTTCCACCGTCATGAATCCCGCCAGGCTTTGTACGAGGCAGGAGAGAAGAAGTGGGGGACCGACGAGGGCAGGTTCATCGACATCTTGTGCCACAGGAGTGTTCCTCAGCTAAGACAGAGTGAGTCATTTCTCTTTATCATCTTCAGGGCCACATATGATTTTTCAAACGGACCGATGGGCGAGATATTTTGGTTCCATTAGAAATGATATGACGACAGTCTTCTACATAATGTGCACAATGACATCATCAAACCAAGACCTTGTAAATATGAATGGAGGAAAGGCCTGTTATTTTGAAGTAGCATTTCAGCACCTTACTAGAGAACAGCAATTCTGCAAAAAGTATTGAAATGGTAGATAGGGCCAAACTAATTTTAAATTTTTATTTAAGTACCTTTTATTATTATTTTTTAAACATCAGAAGACAAATCTCACGGCACACCACCAAGCAAAAAAAAAAAAATGTGACTAAAGGTGTACTTACTGCTGACTAGTGGAAGTGCATGAAATTGTTCTGCCTGTCGGCACACTGATTGGAAATCGGTTACATGATAAAAGTCAGAAACATAACATCCGTTATTGCGTTTGCACAGCTCTAGTGGAATACAAGAACATAAGCAAAAAGACTCTGCAGGAGAGCATCGAGGGTGAAATGTCCGGAAACCTCGAGGAGCTTCTGGTGGCTGTAGGTGAGAATGACACTGACGTTGGTTGAACTGTGGACCCCGTGGAACCCATGACGTATGTTCCATTTTGTTTTTTAAGTTTAGAAGATCCTTGATAAGTCTGTTGTGTTAACTTAGTTTCTTCCATCTAGTCAAATGCGTGAAGAACGTCCCGGCGTACCTCGCAGAGAGGCTTTTCGAGAGCATGAGGGTGAGCAGCATCCCTTTCAGGAGACCCCCAAAACATTGTTCAGTGCCTTTATGTTCAATTTTGCCGGAGTGGACGATTACATTGTCATTAGAAGCATCGAGAGGAATGTTAAGCCTGCCGAGGGTCGAGAGGGCGTTGTGCAACGTTGGTTCAAATGTAACAGCGGGTGATAAAAGTTGCAAGTGCCAATACAAAAGAATGACGGATTTGCTTATGTGTGCCATCCCTTCACAGTTTTATTTTCTAAAATGTGTGTTTTTAGGGTTTAGGGACCACAGAGTCCACACTGACCCGGATACTGGTCAGCCGCTCCGAAATAGACTTGCTGGACATTAGAGCGGAGTTCAAGAAGCTGTTTGGATATTCGCTCTACTCGAAACTGGAGGTCAATATATACGGAGACATTCCACAGCTAAATCTTGATAAATATTAAAAAAAAAAAAAAAAGACTAATATTCAACTTTCCTTACTTTTTTTTGTCCATCAGAGTGAAGTGTCAGGCAGCTACGGTGACACCCTGAAACATCTGTGTGGCCAAGACTAACGCCCTCAAAATTCCTGCAATGACAAATAGCAGTCAGCTGGGAAACGATATGGGACTTTTTCCAAAAAAAGGAATCGTCCAACAGACCACAACACGAAAGGAATGTGGAATTTGAGGTATTTCGTTAAGCCCGACAAACCACAAGAACTTAAATGCATTTCCCGTTGCAGTGACTGATAACTGGTACTCAATAGTATTTTCTTGTCCGTTGTGGAGACAGTTCAATAAAGACTACACCAAGACATTTATGTACAAAATGTTTTATTTAAGGCTTTTGTTCAAGTTGCTGTAACCGACGCCGACGCACGTCATCAGGACTTTATCTCCGCCTTTGCGTTCATCCTCTAAAGGCTTGCGGACTTCAATTTTAAACATGATCTGGAAAAAATCTCGGATGTGTCTCAGAAACTCAATCCTGTGGAGAGAGAACAAAGAGATCATTAACTAGGGAAGGAGAAGTGTTGCACAACCTATTTTTATTTTTAAACAAAAATCTAGAATGTTTGCTACATGTGTCTTGAGTTTCAGTCCCACAGGATACTCATATCGTTTTTGGGCTAACTTGTGCAACATGGCCCTGCCCCCATTTTTTTTTTTTTAAGCCTTCCTCAGTCCCCACTCCTCCTCCTCTTCCATGCGTAACTGCTCCCGTGCAGGCAGCGTGTGGTGTGGTAAAAAGAGCAACACAGTTGATACCAATATTAGTGACAACGCTAGTATTTTAGGAAGTAGAACACACAGGGTAAAATGTAATTCTTTAATAATATTCCTGTCAAAAAATACAAATTGAAGCTTGATGTCAGGCGTCTGGACGAAGTGGCGTGTATAGCGATGGCACTGCCAATCTTCAGTTATCATAGTACTGTACTTGAGAGCAACACAGCACCGGTACCATGATAACTGAAAATGGACAGTTCATGGTTCAGTCCTGAAACGCTTCCACCATTACGCAGTTTGTTTTTTTGGTGTCTCATAGTTGAATAATAACTAAATGGAAAGTGTGCTGCAGCCATCCACATGTTTATGACTAAACCGAGCGCCAGCTCATCTTCACGTTGGGTGTTGGAATGGCTTACGTGTACGGCGAGAGGGGTCCGAGCAAAAGCTTCGACACGTCCTGTTGGCCAAGGGTCATCAGGAGCAGTGCCAGGCTCTGATTGGATGAATCAACGCAGCCGCCCTGCAAACACAAAGGGGGACCACCGCGTGTTTGTCTGCTCCGTAATGTACGTCACAGAGACGGAGATGTTTGGACCCGTGACGGAGCGGCAACTCCGACGCAGCGAGTCTTATCACCCTTGAACAGTGGAAAAAGTCAAACGACCCCACAGTGGTTATAGAGTTTGCAACTTTTTAAAAAAAATAGACAATAGGGCTACAACTAGCGATTATTTTAATAATTATTTTGTTCGTTTATTGAAGAATCTTCTGTTAAAAATTGTTTCCACCACACTTATTCAAAAACAGGAGAATTTTTTTTAAAAATTGAGTGCAAATTTTACTATAAAATGTGATTTTGGCAAAGCCGCTAATTTTTACATAGGTCATGCTACAACAAAATTAAAGTAAGAATTACCGACAAAAAAAAAAGGTGATGAACTCATGTGGGGGGGAGAGTTATAATTTTACAACAATCAATTCTGAATTTTGAGAGGAAAAATACAATAAATGTACAAGAACATGTTTGATTTCAAGTTTTATGTCAACAAGTTAAACATTTTCAATTTTGAGAGTGCAGTTGCAAGACTCTGAAGTTACAATTTGTGACTCTCCTAACTTTACAACTATTTTTATCTTCAATTTGACTTTTTCTTAATCATTTTCGAATTACCTTAATATTCTTTGCCGTTTCGGCAACAGCACGTCTTACCTCCAAGTGCTGATTAGATCGGCTACAAACGTGCTCACACTTTCTCTAATCAATCATCTCATTTTCACTCGCTTTCTTTTAGTAATACAAAGAGAACGTCTGTTTCATTGAAAAAAAAAAAATTGGCGTCTGAACGCAACATGGCCATTTGGAAAAGTCCCTTGAATGCTTACAAGCGAATGCCAAGTCCCTTTTCCAAAAAAGGCATTCTTAGTAGTACATTTAAAAACAGTTGAATCCTGTTCTTCCAGGACCGTCAATGCAAAAGCAGCAACTCTAAGCACGCAATAAGAAATGTACAATTGTTAATACAGTTGTTAATAAGAATACGCCAAAGAACAAGCAAGCATCCAAACTCAATACAGTATCTGTCGAGGACCACTTACATCAGCTCCAGTCCATTGTTGACGTTGTGTCCAAAAACAAAATGTCCATGGAATGAGGTTGCTTTACTACAAACTGACTGTACTGATTAACCAGAGAGCAAACATGCAGAGCACCCGTTTTTTTTTTTTTTTTTAAAGAAAGAGAAAAATAAATAAATCACAACAATTCCAGCTGGCGAATCAATATTCTTGTTCCCGTTTCCTTCTCGACTGCGACCAACTCCACAACGGCAGTCGGGTTATTAAAATAAGCTGTTATTCAAATAAACAGTTCTGAAAGGACCTGATCTGCCAGATGCTTCTGCCTCCAAAAAAAGGGGAAAAAAAAAAACATGTTTAAAGAAAAGCGCCACCCATACTTGGAGCCTCTGGGGCAGACACATCAGCTCCAGACCGTGTGGTGCTGCCACTGAGGATGATGCACCCAACAATATGGCTCTTTCAGAGTTAATCAGCAATACCCTGACCAGCTAACTGGGCTCACATGGCACCAGTAAGAAGCCAAGGCGGACTCGCGCTCAACACACACTTCCTGAAACAAAATCTACAAGTTCACACTGTTATTTTCCTCCCCGTGAGACATTCATTCGTTTTTGTTTAAACATAGCGACAAACAAACATAGTCGCCTTAGTTACTGCAACGGGGCAAAAACAAAACTGCCGGATGAGGTGTCACCTGAAAAGCTGCCCTCTGAGCACAGCGGCTGAGGCTTGCTCCTTATGGACGTCAAGTGGATATAATATTCGGTGGCAGTCATCTGGAACGCTAAAATTAAAAGCCAAAGTTTCGCTCCAACTTGAACTCTGACCAATTTTATTTCTAAAATTCCCTTTTCTGCCTACCAGCAAACTACTTGATTGTCTCCAAACATTTTCAATGGGGCGGTTTCAAACAGTTGTAAATTTTCAATTAATTTTCAACTTTAGCTTTGCATTTCTTGTTTCAAAACACATATTTGCAATTTTGCGCTTCAATATCTTTGACTGAGGCGCAAAATGCAAATTTTGACTTTTTTTTTTTTTAAAGTGATGTGAAGCCGCTTATTTTGAGGTTGCCATCTTCATGGAAAAAAAAAAAAAAAGTTTGTCCTGTAAATGTTTATCTGATTGGGCTCGGTACTTTGGGTTTTGGCCACCCGTGCGATTGAGTTTCATATCCCCAGACTTTGAATGTGTCTGTGCCATATATGCCCTTTAGATACCTTCCACATGCTCATTGTGTATAGAAACAAAATCATAGCTGAATCCCAGACTGACATTCCTGGGGGAATGTCAGCAAACAAGGGCAGTTGTGTGTGACCGTTGCGCCACGTCCGACTCATGTCATACGACAGGTATTCAGCCAGAGAATACAATACTGTCTTGAGGACAGACTGACTACTGTCATTCCAAGAGTCGTGCTGATATCGGCTTGCAGCGTGTGTCCGAAGCATGCGCCTTTACGAACATTGGGGTTTGTAAAGTACAGCAACATCGCTTCCTTGTCTTCATAACTGTTGCATTGGACTACTTCACCATGCCACATGCAAAACAGATCACATGACTGTACAACCATCCAGTGTGGCGGAGCTATCCAAATAAAAGGGCTTGTTTGTTTGCATAACACTTGCTTAGAATTTTGAAATTTGATTCACAAATAAAAACAAATCATGTTTTGCAGCACATGGTCTGAAAACCCAAATTCGAGTCGCTTGACATTACGATGAAAAGATAACGCAAAACAATACGCTATACGTTTTGGGTTTTTCTTTTTTTAACAAAACTGAATTTTACAACACTTACCCGATAAACTTCCTCCAGCAGCAGCTTGGCGCAGTTGCGACCGAGATCCTCGGGCAAAACGGGGTCTCCTTGCCCCTGTGGCGTGGAAGACATCTCGGCACTGAGGAAACAGCCTTCAAGAGTCTCTGCCACGAGTGTCAGGCCAAAACCCGGTGACCTGCAACAAAACCGGTGCGACCGTTGGAAGATGACAACAGCAACCACAATGTACCCCCATAGCACCTCCTGTGCGAGACAAATTAGGAAATATTATGCTATTACAGCATCTTGCTACCCCCCCACCCTGATTGTGCTGTGATAACAACAGATAGGGCTTCAAGTTAAAATTACAAAAGTACTTTTTGGACATGAACGCTTTCTGGGAGGTGGCCTGACAAGCCAAGTTATGGTGACCTTTGTCAGAAGTGACACTGGCCCTGTATAATCATTATATAATGGAAATGTGTTGTTATTTCATTCCTTTTGGGCAGCCATGTCCAGCTCCGGGCCTCAAGGGCCGCAGTCGTGCTTGTTTTCCATCTCTCCCTGCTGCAACACACCTTATTCAAATGATCGGATGGAAAACAGGCAGGACAGCAGCCCTTGAGGACCGAGTTTGGACACCCAATTGCTTTCATGGCTATGACTGTGTGCCAATCCCACTGAAGGTAATGCACTCCAGTTATACAAATTATGCTTCGAAGAATGATCAAAATATTTACTTGGCAACTTTTGGGTGTTCAAATGTAACTGCGCCACAACGTGTCCACCACGCCTATCATTCAGTTGGCAAATTTGAAAGTGTTGTAGCACTACCTAGTGGTGGAGAAGGTACGTTACAGTTTTCCCCAAACCTCTCGGGGGGAGTCCGATTTTGCCGCATGTGCAAGGGGTCCTTGGTTTATGAAGAAGTTCTGTTCCCTGCAGCATCAATGCAACCCTAATTTGTATGCGAGTACGATGGCACCATAGTCGGTCGCAAATCTACATTAATGTAGCAACTAACTTGGAGTTACACAAAATACTTTAAAGCCATGAATATAAACAACTAAATGAAAAACATTCATTATTGCTAAAACATGTCTTGTGCCGCGTGATAACTTTGTCTTGCACTCCTGCACAAACTGTTTCCTTGAGCATCGTCCGGAATGGTGTATGCTGGGACTGTCGCAGCGCAGCGCAAAGCAAAGCGGTGGGCATACTCACTTGCCAGAGTTGGCTCCCTTCATGTGGTCCGTGTGGATGTAGATGTCTGGAATGAACTGGTTGAGGACTCCCCGCGCCGACTCCACAATCCTGTTGCCCATTTGGGGGGAAACTCTCACCGAATATCTGAGTTTAGACCTTCAAGGCTCATCGAAACAATGTTGTGATGTGTGCACTGGCAAAGCACAGCCATCTCGTGGTGTGTTTTCTCAACCGTTATTGAGCCATGAAAATGTTCTCACAGAAAACCAAGCATGCTATGACACATTTCAGTTGTATGTCGAGTATCCACGGCGCTCGTAATGCACAAATAAGTCAGAGAGTAAGATGATTAGAAGGATACGCTACTCCTCGGATTCTCTTAATCTTCCCAGAGTCTGTAAGCTGCACCGGCCTGATTGTCTTGCGGACGGGACATGTGAAGACAACCTCACCTCCTCCACCGGGTGCCATTCCCCTCTTCATCACCTGAGGGCGCGGAAAGAGAAAGATTCAGCCTTGGGCTTTCATTTCTGAATTTGAATGTTCAAAGAGGTTTTCCGCGCCACCTTGAGGTCAAAGCCTTCACCCTCAATGCCAAACTTCTTCATCAACGGAAGAACCGTAGACTTAAGTCGATCAACCTAAAGAAAAGGCAGATGTGAAAGCAGCGGCAAAGAATCGGGAAATGTGCTCCACTGTTGCCCTAACAACATCCATCTCCCAAAATGTGCTGATGACCCCACATGTGCCAATATAGGGAATTGTGTTCATCTGCTGCTGACGTCAGTAGGCTCACACAGTTTTCAACCTAATAAGGGCCAAGATCTGCTGAAAACCATCAGAAAGAACACCTAATAATACTGCTGAGACTATTTTGGGGTGGGGGATTTTTTTTTTTTGCTGCAGGTTTGCCTCTTACACAGATTAAAATTTCCCCACAAATAAGACATATGCCTTGAGCAAACCATGAGCAGTTAAAAAAAATCTTATTATAATGCAAAATAATGAATGGATTAAGTATCGCCGTGCAATATTTTTAAAAACTATTTAAAAATATGGTTAGAACAATATCTTTCCGCCAAACATATTCTTCACACAGAAGGCACCTGGTACTTTCTGCGGTGGAGTAAATAAAAGCCCCTCGTCACAACATGCGGAATTATGGTAGGTAGAATCATTTATCACAACCGATTATAAAACTTTACTAGAATGAAAGTGAAGCGTGTTATCTCACTGTCGGGTCGGTGGGGTCGTTGGTGATGCCACGCAGGGTTGCCTTCAGTGGGTTCTTCATGAAGGGAGCCAACATGAGCAGGGCCTCCAGGTAGTAACCGATGGAGCGCTGAAGATTACAGTCATGTTCTATTGAGCCCCCGTAAAGTAAACCGGGCTGGTAAAATAACACGGCACCTTGAAGAGAAAGGAATATGGAAACTTAAAAGCATGGAAAAAAATACACTCAGCAAATTCACTAGCATTTTTAAAAATATATACAGTATTTGAAATCTGTATTGTATAAACTGGGTGATGTAGGAATATTATACTTATCCACCCATCTTTTCAATCAGGATTTTCCTCATCATGATCATGTGAGCCATAGGCTTTTAACCGCTGACCTCTGGGCCCCAAAATACCCCACAGTAGATTAAAGGTAACCAACTGACTTTTAGGTGACTTTGCTTTGTAAGGTATCAAATTTTTGTTTGCATCCATTTTGTTCATGTAAGCAGTCCAAATCAGTCAAGACAGGTAACTATAAGGAAGGGGGAAAAAAAAGACCCGGCAAATATTATATATTCAATAAAAACTGGATTGGCTCGCCCAGCTCCTCAGGCATGTCATTAAAAAAATCCGGGAAATTGGCATAATTTCAGTAACACATTCCTGAATTGAAAACACAAAACAAACATTCACCTGTTTGGTTTATTTCTATTCTGGAGCCATTGGTCACTTTGTCCAGAAGTCTGATGAAGCTGGCTTCAAAATCTGGAGAACATTCAAAAAGCAATCTTTCAATAAAACTGAAATATTTATCATATATTAGTCCCCTCCCCCCAAATTTAAGAAATTGTGCAAATATTGAAAAAAGGCGTGACTGTGAAGTTTTCGCATACCATAACAAGACATGAGGGTGAAGCAATCCTGACGTAACTAAAGGGCGTTTGAATTAAATTTATTAGTAACTAACTGCTTCAAATTATAACAATCAAAAGCTTAGTGCACAGTGAGAAATATCCATGTTTATTCAATTCATCAGAGTCACAAACTCTTGCGTTCTCCCCCCCTTGCTTACCCTCACCAAACTCACTCCCAACTGCGTAGGAGCTAGCTCGTTAGCATAGAAGCTAACTGCGACGCCACATGAATTTTGACTTCCCAACTCACTCACCACGTAGCCCCGGATTGTCGTCTTTGGACCTTATATTCCTGATTTTAACCCTCTTCCCGCTCAGCGTAGACAAAACGAGGCGCTGCCTGAAGAAGTTACAGCCGTCGTAGTCGAGCCCGTGGCTTGCCATGATGATGATGATGGTGATGTTGTTGTGGCTGGCTCGCTGCTCTTGCTTGGCTCAAGTCAGTGGAAATCCACGTGTGTTTTTCCAGGAAGACGCTGACGGCAGAAGGCTACGGAAAAGCAGGAGGGACACACATTTACAAGCTTTTTGCAGTACCACTTCCGCCCTGCCGGGAGCGTTTTTGTGTGAAGAAACACAACAAACCTGTTTGCCGACGACAAACTAAGCTAATGCGACACATATAAAATGTAATATTCTGCAATCTCATTTCAATATGTCTCTGTTTGCTACATCATTAAATTAATGATCAATTTAACGTGTGTTATATCATCCATATTAGCGACGTGACTGGTCATATGCAACCGTTAGGCAAAAACGCATCCATCTATGAACAAATAAATCCCTCAATTAATAAATATCTTCAAAAAAATTAGTCTCGTCCTTTTGCTCGTCAGGTTACCCCAAAGAAAGTTCGTCCAGCTTTCGAGCCACGCCCATTTTCGTTGACGTCACCCACTTGCGTTGCCATCACGGCCACTCTTCGCTTCACCCAGCATCCAGAAGGAGTTTAATCCGACTTGGGCAAGTGAAAACTGAAAGTGGCATTCCCGATATGGTTCTCCAGAGGATTTTCCGTGCAGTCATCATTGGACCCCCGGGCTCCGGAAAAGGGACGGTGTCTGGGCGGATAAGCAAAAGTTTTGGACTCAAACACATCTCCAGTGGGGATATTCTGAGGGCCAACATCAACGCTAAAACTGGTAAGCTTAATGATGCATGAATGGAATAGGGAAACTTAACACCATTAATTTGTGCACACATAAATAGGGTGTGCTTAGTCTACTGTGTTGATAAGACCACCACTCCTTGCTTATCTGGAACATACACAGGGAGTTGTCATCAAACTGGTTCGCAGCCACTTATTGTGCTGGGAGTAGTTTCATGTTTGCACTGGAAACACTACTTGGCCTAACATGGCTTGACCGAACTTTGGAAGAAGGCTCCCTCGGCATCACCTTGACGGAATGATTAAAAGAGCTGTAAAGATAAGCAAGACAATGCACGTATTCGTTCCGTGAGTGGAATTCGATATGTGTGTGGTGGTATCACGTTGAGTGTGCTGCTTTCTGCACAATTCTAAACCATGAAAAACCCTTTTCACGTGGTGCACTTAGCAGTCAAAATATGTTGTTATAATCTTTGTCCATGCTCGAGTTTGCCTTGGATTTGAACTGTTCTTTTCTTCGTGAAAAACAATCAAAACACGCACTGACTCAAGTATTGTACAGTATACATAACTATTGTACACACTTAGCTTGGTTGCAATGAATCGCCTCGAGCAAATCATGATGGCAGATGTTTGACACCTTTCAAGGGTCTTGCAACAATTTTGCATCGACTATAAAATAATAAATGCCGTTATTTGCACTTGCATGCATCAGGGCGACCAAGTGGTTAGCACCTCCACCTCACAGTCCTGACTGGGGTTATTGGTTCAAATTTGGCCTTTTCCTCGTGTAATTCGACCTTGTCTCACTTTCCAAAAACAGTCACGTTCGGTTCGTTGAAGACTAAATTGACCATAGGTGTGAATGTGAGGGTCAATGGTTTTTTGTCTGTCTGTGAATTGCTATTGACTGTCAAACAGTCCAGTGTGTATCCTGCCTCTCCCCCAAGGTCATTTGGCATATGCTCCAGCTCACCCGTGACCTTAAAGTGAACAGGCACTGTTGGGAATGGATGGAAGATATTCAATAAGGGCAAGCTCGTTGGGCTAATTGTTACCATTTCTACTGCACGGCCTTCCTGTATGCCATTTGTATGTCCTCCCACATGCTTGCATGCAGTCAACATTTCGGTTAAGGTCAAAAAATCCATTCCGGATGCATTTGAATGAGGCTCTGTCACTCATACAGTTACTCATTAAGGGACTATTTGAGTTTTTTTAGGCTTATGTTACCCATCAATTCATTTTATATCGTGCTTGACTCGGTTATGCTCACGAGTACACTCTGGAGAATGTCCCATCACTGGTGAATATACTGTATGTACTGTCATGAAAAAGAAAAAGTACATTTTGGCGGCTTTTTTTTTTCTTTGACTTCCTGTTTATTTGTGTCAGAGTTGGGACTGCTGCTTAAGTCGAGTATCGATCGAGGTCAGCTGGTGCCCGATCACGTCATGTCTCGCCTCATCCTCACAGACCTGCGAGCGATAGAGCAGAGCAGCTGGCTGCTCGACGGTAAGAAAGCTCGACACACTCATGAATTTCGAGCAAATCTGCAAATCTTTCTACATGCCGCAGTCAACCTGTCGTTACATGAATGACATGCATAGGTTGGCCAGGTACTTTCCCCTCCAACCCAGAATGCAAATGCTCGAGACTTGTCTGTCTATTTCTAACATTTTACGCCCTTCACTACGAACCAGGAAGTAAACTCAGGACATTGAAATGGTCGTATCTGGACTGTTCTGGTTTTCTTAGAAGACATTTCTCCTCATACAGTTGTAACAGCATTGTTTTTGTTAGCCACTCTGGATAAAAAGGCTGCCAAAGGAAGTCATGAAGATTTTGTTGTTTGAGTTATGATGCAAGTCATTACCCAGAATGCAAATCGAAGATGCCCTCCTCATGTCTAATGTTTTTCTACGTGAACCAGGAAATAGCCTGCTTACTGGCAAGTGGAAAAACACAAATTCAGCATTTTTCTTTTTTGAGTCATGAAGGAAGCATTCATTCCATATCAGATTTTTAAAAAATGGATCAGTTAAAGTTTATGGAAGGATTTTTGCAAAAGGCTGAAAAGGAGAGAGTTGGAAAAATGAATCATAATAAAATGAGAATTTTCTGACATATGAATTTAATGGTCTCACTTTCAGGTTTCCCTCGAACCGTCACCCAAGCAGACTCTCTGGATCAAGTCTACAGTGTGGACACAGTCATCAACCTCAATGTTCCTTTCCACACCATTAAAGAGAGACTGACCTCTCGCTGGACTCATCTTCCCAGCGGCAGAGTGTACAACATTGATTTCAACCCACCTAAAGTGCCTGTAAATACATGGCTTATTATTATAATGACCACATTTTTCCAGTCACTTTGAAGTTGGGAAACGGTTACCGATAAAAACATAAATTGGAATGACTGACCTCCACCAAAGTTGAATCGTCCCACTCGATGAGTGAGGTGGAAATAAAACAAAAGGTGACCACATTTCTAGGTCTTATTTCATGGCACGCTGGGATTATACAAGAGAACAAAAGTGCGGTGAACATCTTTGCGTTATCTGCTCTGTAATTGGCTCGATTGTGATCTGCTTACGCTTAGTTCTATCGCTATAGTCACTGGTGCAAAGGTCAAAAGAACTCAAATCGTATTGTCGAGATGATTCAATAGTGTGTCGGTACTTTGCAGTGAGGCATAAGTCCACTTAGCTCACATGCGCCACATTGAGTTTGATTGCTTTAAGTAATTTGATCATCCAACCTTTCATCATTCAGGGTCGCGATGATGTCACAGGGGAGCCTCTGGTCCAGAGGGACGATGACACACCAGATACGGTCACGAGGAGACTGAAAGCCTACGAAACCCAGACGGAGCCCGTCTTAGAATACTACAGGTACATCCGTGCACCTCGCATTTAGGAACTGTTATCAGAAGCAACATAGAAACAAACCCACACAAAGGTGAAAACGTAACCTCCTTTAGTGGATGTCGTTTCATTTCAATTTTTATTTTTGAGGTGTTGCGTGTCAGTCCCGCTATTACATCACGAGTGTTAAGTTTGCCTCTCTGCAGAGAAATAATTAAGTGAAAATGGCCAGATGGTTGCTCGTATTTCTCCTTACGGCCTTTCAATACGGCCAGCTTCCTCCGACACCGCAATGTTTGTGAAGAGCACATTTTTGTACCTTCATGCACATTCCTCACATGTTTATTTCACCAAAGGATTGCTTCAGAGCCACATTCCTTGAGGCTGGTGGAACCAGATTTGACCTTTTATCGAGGTCCAAAAATGGCACAGTCTTAAAAAAAAAAAAAGAGGCAACGTTTTAAGTTGTGGAATCACATTGAGAATACAATCTGAGCTTGTTGGGGCTCACAAGGAAATATAGCAAATGCAAGAAAGGGAATAACAGAAACTTACTGAAGGTATTTGACCATTGTAAAATAAAAGTTTAAAAAAAACAATTATGAAACCTTTTGAGAATGTAGTTGAAGATTTTTAAGTGGTTATGGAAGTTTTCAGTGAAGGCGAGTTGACTTTATGTGTAATATTCGTAACCGTCATACAAAGGTAAAAAGTTAACCAGGGTTATAGTGTAACTTAAAAAAAAAAGTTTACTCACCAGCACACCCATGACCCAAATTAGGATAAGCGGTACAGCAGATGGATGCATGGACGTAATTGTCACTGAAGTCATAGTGCGCTTAGCAGTCATACCATTTTCCATTCACATTACATTCAATGTGATCATCTCTGAAGTCAGTTTTTTGAAAAATATATCCATTATAATTGTCATATGTTGTTTCCTCTATTTGTGTTTCAGGAGTAAAGGTGTGCTTGAGACCTTCTCCGGCACAGAAACTAACAAGATCTGGCCCCACGTTGAGACCTTCCTTCACAAAAAACTCTCTGTGCTCAATCATAGTGTTGCATAGCAGAAGAGAAGACTGCCTTGTAAAATTTACCAGCTAAATTGTCTTTACTAATACACGGACCATCCAGGACCCGTGCCAACCATGGGACTTTTTAGAGCGGTTGAAATTTTGCTCTCATCATTCCACATTGTGCCTGAGACCAATAGAAACACAACAGGTGTTTTTGTTTTCTAAAATTCATCCGATTCAGACGACACTCCTAGATGATAGTACCATAGGGTCCACATAAAGCTTCCTAAAATAAACCAAAATAGTTTGATGTATATTTTGGCATTAGGACTGTTTCTCTTGTAGTATTATGACTATTCAAAAGGGAATGTGCAATGGTCGACCATAGTGATCTAATAAATTCATTTTCACTCCAGTGCCTTCAAAATGCTTTTTTTTTTTTTTTTTTTTAACATTAGCACAAGAACAACCTTTTTTCCTCAAATGCTACATAGTTTAGACAAGCACACCACAGGACCAGTATCACGTGCTGTGACCAGTGTGCCGTTTTGTGAGGAGCTGCCTTGCAATGGAAAACGTGCCTTACGTAATAACGTGAATGGATTAAAACACGAACAAAAAATGTGAGATGCTAAGCTTCATTAACCATTTGAGTGCAACATACAGCACGACCATGTTTTTTTTCCCCCTCCACCGTCATAAAAAGTAGATCAATACAATTAAGAGTGGAGATCCTTGTGGATGAATGGGTCTTTCTTTCAAAACTGTCGTGAAACCGAACCGCTCTAAAAACATATAGTTATGTCACTTTCTCCTCATTTTGAAAATAAAATCCACAATGCAAGGCTTTTTCATACAATATAATTTAATGCACCATCTGGTCTCCTCAATTCCACTCTGCAGCAGAAAATCACTTTATATTTATACTCTTGAATTTATTACAGAGCAGATAGGTGGCTGGAAACTGGCCTGAGAAAACTGGCCCAGTGACCAAAATTAGTCATTCAAACGTGAAAACAGCAACAACAAAAAATTTCACACAGTTCAAATGAAAAGCTTATCACAAGCCCGCTTGTAAAAGTTTAGAAGTCGGCATGATTAAGGCTTCAACATAAAAAGTAAAGTGTGAGTTCAAAAAAAGTCAAATATTAAAGTGCAGTACACATTCGGATGCAAATACCTCCTTTCTGCAGACAAACGTACTCAAAAAAAAAAAAAAAACGGGCCCTTTTGATCTCTCCACCTTCTCCCATAATGACAAGTCAACTGGAGATGTAGAAATAAAAACATTAACTAAAATCCTATATTGATAAAGACTTGAAAAGCAACATGCATTGAAAAATGGTGTCAAACGTGATTGGCGAAGCTACACTGGATTTTGTGTCGTCTACTCCAGCGATTCCCAAACAGCAACATTTATCAACAGGCCGAACGATTAAATGCTCTTTCATTCAGTGGCAGAAGACTACCTCGTCAACATAAAGACTATTTCCCCAAACAGCGGCCTCCGCCGCAAACAGACCTCGGTCCGCCGATTAATCGAAATGCATTCGAACGAATCAACTCTGCATCTCAGAGACCTTTTTGTTTTTTATTCCCTAAAATGAGCCCGTGGGTGTGATGTGAAGAGCCACATACACACTGTGTAGCGTATGAAGAGTCCATGCCTGGTTGTCATAGTAACCATGTCTGTACTGTACTCACTATTGGCCCGGCAGTATTTGGATGACAGAGCTTCTCTGTCAAGCGGGCTGATTTGGGTAAGGCAAGAATTAGTGTCTACAGAGTGTACTATACTGGCTGATCTTATTTTACAAAAGCATGCCAGACACATTATTGAAACACCTAGTTATATATGTTGTACCGACAAAAATCAAAGGGCATCATATCTCCTTTTAGTGTCACCATTTGGAAAAGGAGACAAAAAATAATTTAAACCAGCATTATTTTTTATCCAAATCACATTTCAAACTTAACATTTATTTATCCCTAATGGTGGCCACAATATGAGGAAATACTGCAAATATAAATATATATCTTGGGGTGACTCTGGAGTGTGAATCCTCGTCGGTTTGACTTATCTCACAATGCATTTAAATACAAAGTGCTTGGTCATGCCATAAATGCATACTCGTAGGCTACAGTCCAGGAATCGACATTTAATATTATTTGAACACCTGCCATTAGGTCCATTGCTGTGCCAAGATGAACTATTTTGAATTTATGCAAATTGTGATTACATAGTACAGGTACAACGAGGACCCGGGTCATCATTTTAAAGCAACTCTTGTTTCTCTGATGATGAATGGCTGCATTAGAGGCCGCCAGTCGAGACCTGACTAAGGGCTAATCATGCTGGTCTTTATTCCTGTTGTGCTCGGGTGTCGTTAAGAAGGGCTTAAAAAAGTCAAGGTGTTCCTACATGGGGAGAAGGTGAAGATGGAAGAAAGGCAGCCACGTTTCCTAAGAGGTCTCCATCATGCGTATATCGTCACTTTCACTGGCATCGTCCTTTGTCCGTCTCTCTGTGTTTATCAACAATCCAGCTTCTAAACAGCGCTTGGAAGGGTACTCCGCCACCTGTTGGAGGATAAAACACGGGGGCTTTAGTGACATCAGTGGCCCTTGGTTGTTTTTTCGAGCCACACCCATAATCAAGAGACGCCTCTTTTCTCATTTTCAGGGATGCTCTATTCGTCTTTGTGTGGGGCCCCAATACACCTTCCACAGTGTCAGCACTGTGCAGATGAATGTCAACGAGAGCGACAGGGGAGAGGAAAAGACGCGGGTGGATTAAGCAGCAGTTGCCTTGTTAGAGGATTATTATCAATGTTTATGTAACTGCCCTCTGCCTCTTTAAAGGTCATGTGCCGACCAACGGGATTTCGACAGGCGCTCCTCTGATGCTGAGATAGATGTGAAATCAGAGAATGACACTCGGGACGAGGAGGCAGGGCCAGGAGATTCCAGCTTCACTTCCAACAGGCTGCGCTGCATTCCTCGGCAGCAAGTTGTCTTCAAGCCTCTCTGGCAGCGAGGGGCCAACAAAGGGGGAGGAGGAAGTTTTTCTTTTTTTTTTTTTAAACACAGGATTGTGAAAGTATCCGAGGTTTGGAGTTCAGCCGACCAGAGGGAAACGATCCCACTTCTAACGCATATACAAATTAGAACAACTCAATTACGCCGAGTATGCTCCGAGCGATTTTGAACATTTTCACAGATTTTTGAAACGAGAGCGAACCCACACGTGACATGGAACAAACAACAGTCATGCGTATTTTCCACGGAGCATTCTAAGGGTTTTTATTGTGTGTTGCTCAACTGAAACTGTTTTTTTTAATATGATACAATGGCGCCACCTTACGTTTAAATCTGAGTACAGCCATTATCTATGTACAGGTATTTCGGTTTGCGCGTTTCTCCAACCCTTTTCAGCTTAACGCACACATTGGAAATTGAGCTGGGGTGCAAACTTACAAAAGTATATCACGTATTACATTATGTATACAAAGTGACAATAAAGAACATGGAAATGTCATATTACAACAAACCAAAGACAATCAACAAGGCTAAAATGATATGTACCAGCTTGATGACCAAATGATAGGAGCTTAAAAGTGATTAAAACACACACACGCACACATTACTTTTTAAATTACTGGTACTTGTACTGCGTATGAACAGTTGGGTTCCTGTCCAGTGTCTGGTCTCTCCATCAATCAAGCGTAAAATTAAGCAGCCAATGATAGTCACTTGGGGGTTGTAAAAGTCGCTAAATATAGTGACTCCTACAAACATTGCCAAACTGGCAACACAGAGTAGCTGCCCGCTTTATTTCATATCCCAGCTCTGCCCAAGTCGTCATGGGAACAAAAGCGGCACTCGGCACTTGCCTGGAATAGGACTTCAACCCAAAACGGCATGATTGGTACCAGCATGTGATCAGTAGACGTTAAGCGTGCTAAAGCTTTGAGGACACTGACACATGTTGCGTTCCGACCTCCAGTTTGGGAAACTGTCACAGTGAAATACTTGAGGAGTGTTTCTACTCACAAGACAAAACCACAAAGTACAACTCACACCAGACCAAAAAAAAAAACTTACTTGTGTTAAAGAGCTTTGAGATTCTTTGGGGTCGAGTCTGAGGTTTGTGCCATTGCTCGGCTGTTGAGTTGTGTTGTTGGATGTGATGCTTTTACACCTGACCACATGTTCTCTCACTTGGTATTTGAAGGCCTCAAGCTCAGTGTGGAAGACTTCCAAATAGACGTCTTGTCCTTCCTGCACAGCAAGAGAAGAAACACGAAATTTGAACTACCGAATAGTAGCCAGCAACCAGTAGAGTAATTCCTGCCCAACTGGTGTGCTGCATGAAGGGGCGACAAAATCTACAAAAATGCACTTAGTATGCAGATGTGGTTGTTTTTAAAAGTGCTCTCCAAATGAAATGGAGTTATTACTTTTTATTTGATGCTTTTATTAAATAGCTAAATTTAAGTTGGTTTTGACTGGTGTTGCATCTGAATAAATTAGGAGTAGGTGGGTCATGACATGCAGGTGCCTTACTTTGGCTTTTTGGAAGAACTGCCTGAAGCAAGCTCTGGGGTCCTGCCGTGAGTTTGATGCCATCTCCAGGATGAACTGCATGGCTACAGCTTGGTGAGCCACCTGCTCCATCAGCGCTTCTTTCTGTTGGAAATTGCTTCAGGTCAGTATTTCGTCATCCTAAATTTTTGAATAATCGTTCAAAATGAAAATGCCAAACATATATCCAGCTCATCATTTCAACATTACCCCTTCTTGCTGGAGCGTGATGCACCACAAATATAAATAGTTGGCCGTCTCGTTGCAGATGAGCTGAGGCTTCTCTGCCAGGAATCGCTGGCTGTCATCCCATCGCCGCAACATACCTGAAAAAACATCTGAACTTAAATTTGTGGTCTAATCAGAGCCATTAAATGTTAGCAGGTGTGCTTACCCCCATTTCACACGAGTTTGAATGTGAGTTGTTAAATTTGAACACGGCCACAGCGCCAATTATAAGCAAAAGTGTTTTGTAGAGGTTTTAGATCACATTCATTTTGGAAAACATTTCATTGTTGTGGTCTCGTTTTGCATGAAAAAAATTGTAGTTCGTCACATGGCAACAACAATGCAACATTAGCATTAAAATGAGGTTGACAAGGTTCCTCGTTTTTATTCCTGATTCCGAATGTCACTTACCAAAGTGCCTGAGGTCTTGCTCAGACTTGTGGAGAGATGCCTTGCACTGTTCTGCTTCTGCGGGTTCATTTTGGACATTGATGATACTCTGGTGGAGACAAGAGGACACTGATGCTTGTTGACTGGCAGCAAAGATAACGTTGAATAGAAAGCAGATGATGTAATGCGACTACAATGAACCCTCGCATATTT